GGCAATTGTTTACAGGGAGGTCTTTTTAAAATAAAATCCGTCACATATGATTTCAATTTTTGGTAGTTGTTCCAAATAAATAGACCTGATTTCATTATTGTGACTATTATTTCCAGCACCTCGATAACCCTTTCAATGTTTGAAATGGTGAACCAACTCATATTCTCTTATTGTTAATTCAACAAATTTAAATTACCTTAATATATGAGTTACATTAGATTTAATTAGTGTTTCATTTCGAACCGAGAATTTCATTTTCTTCGAGCGATTTTGTTCGTTGTCGTCTTTGCTTTTCGAACGATCATCTCGTTTATTCTTCTGTTAATTGTCAAATCGTATCGTCTAATTTTCTAATCGACCGAACTTCTCGACTGTCCTATAATTGACACCTTAAAATAATATAGTATTAACCTATTTTTAAAGAAAATTTAATATCGAAAAACATTCAAATTCTTTAATCTAGTCAATTAAGATTAATGTAAAAAGTTCATTCAGGGTGTTTAGAGAATTATGATTTTTAAATTTTCGGATCAAAAAGTAAAATATTCCCGAATTGATTTTTTTAAAACAGTAATAACTATAACATTAAAATATTAATACTTTCAATGTACAATTTTTTGGAAATTTTTCTTACTAAACGGTTAGATATATAATTCGAAAAATGTTGAGAAAGTGAATATTTCTAAATTCAAAGGAAGCTTTCGATAATTTTTTAGAAAAATTCCCTTATCTATGTTAAAATTTACAAAACGTTTTTTACAGTGTATTTAATTGAAGAATTTTCGAATAATCAAAGTTCGTAAAGCTGAAATTTAAAACAAATGTATTTGAAAATCCTCAAAGAACTTTATCACAAATAATTTAAAAAGTTGATTTAGAGAAGAATTTTATTTAAAAATTGTTGAAAATAATTATTGAATTAAGAAGATAAAAATAATTTTTAAGGAGTATCAGTAACAATAAGGTTTGAATTTGACATTTTTTTAAAATTTTAATTCCTGTTTTGGAAGATAAATTTCTGAACTTTATGATAGTAAAATGCTTTTCTTAAAAAATAACGTAATTTTATAGAAACTTTTATTTGAAAGTTAAATTTGTAAATATCTCAAAACTCAAAACTTCAATTAATAAACAATTTTATTTTCCAATTCAACTTGTTGATTAAAAGTTACCTTCCCGTTTCTTGAAATTTTTTGTAGAAAATCCTGAACCTTTATAAGAAAATAATTTCCATCATTATTTCATAATTACAATTGCTTCAAACAAATTCAAAATGTTTTAAAAATAAAAAACAATTTTACACAAGAAAGTGTTCTGTTACATTTATTTAAGATTTTCTTTACTTGTAAAATTATTTGAAAATATCAATATCTTCTTTTTTAAATAAATATTTAATTATTATTACTTTTTCACAGAAATTAACATCTTTAAAAATGTCAAATTTAAAGCTTTGTTACTGTTACTCCTTAAAAATTATTTTTATCTTTTTAATTCAATAATTATTTTCTAGATTTATTAAATAAAATTTTTCTCTAAATCAACTTTTTAAATTATTTGTGAAAAAGTTCTTTGAGAATTATTTACAAATACATTTGTTTAAAATTTCAGCTTTACGAAATTTGGATTATTCGAAAATTCTTCAATTAAATACACTGTAAGAAAAGATCATAAACTTGTTAAAAGAAAACTAATTTTCTTCTAAGTGAAGATGTAAAAAATATATAATATGTATGTTCCAGTCGCATTTATTTGTAAAAATTATAATTTTTTTAAGCAAAATAATGCTCATGGTATATTTTCAAATTAAATATTTCTACAAAAATTTCATTTATATTCAAAGGAAGGAAAACGATGTAATAAATATTTGTTTCTTAATAATAGTTGTTTTTAAAAAATATTTGTTTTTAAGGTATAGAAAAATATTTCTGCAAATCAATTCGGGAATATTTTACTTTTTGATCCGGAAATTTAAAAATCGAGAAGTTCGGTCGATTAGAAAATTAGACGATACGATTTGACAATTAACAGAAGAATAAACGAGATGATCGTTCGAAAAGCAAAGACGATAACGAACTAAATCGCTCGAAAAAATGAAATTCTCGGTTCGAAATATATATAGTAAGGTGTTTAAAATTTATTGAATTAACAATACTATTGCAATGATGCAAATGTTCACAGTTGAAAACTGTGAAAGGGTTATCGACGTGCTGAAAACAATTGTAAAAGTAATAAAATTATTTCTATTTTTGTGGAACTGCTACCAGAAGATGAAATTATATGTGAGGCATTTTATTTCAAAACAACCTCAGTAGTTATTAATTTTTACTATATTAAAAAATAAAGAATTAGTTCTCAATAAATAAATAAGGATAAAATATTTCAAGTTTTCCGTTTTTAAGAAAATTTTACAAATTTTATTGAGACTTTGTCGTATTTTGGTAGAAAAATATCTTAAAGCATTCTGAAGATTTTAATTTGTAACAAAATTAGAAAATTTTCCAAAACATTTTGCAATGTTTTATAACTAGTAAAGAAAAATTTCAAACTTTTTACGAAATTTACTTAATCTTACATTTCGAAAAATGTCGAAATAGTTTCGAATTTATTCTACACTCTTGGCAAAATGTCTAACTTTGTGTCGCAAAATCATTTATCAAAAAATTAACAACAGAATAAACGAGATGATCGTTCGAAAAGCAAAGACGATAACGAACAAAATCGCTCGAAAAAAATGAAATTCTCGGTTCGAAATATATATATTAAGGTATTTAAAATTTATTGAATTAACAATACTATTGCAATGATGCAAATGTTCACAGTTGAAAATTGTGAAAGGGTTATCGACGTGCTGGAAATAATAGTCACAATAATGAAATCATGTCTAATTATTTGGAACAACTGCAAGAAGCTGAAAGCATATGTGACACATTTTATTTCAAAACGACCTCCCTGTAAACAATTGCCAGTTTAAGGCAATTTTTAAAAAAATATTTCTCCTTTCTTTGAAAAATGTATAATTATAAATCATAATAGATAAAAAAAAATAAATAAAAAAAAAAAAAATTCTCGGTTCGAAATGAAAAACTAAAGCTAATGTAACACATATAGTAAGGTAATTTAAATTTATTGAATTAACAATAAGAGAAAATATGAGTTTATTCACAGTTTCAAACTTTGAAAAAGTTATCAAGGTTCTGGAAATAATAGTCACAATAATGAAATCAGGTCTATTTATTTGGAACAACTACCAAAAACTGAAATCATATGTGACGGATTTTATTTCAAAAAGACCTCCCTATAAACAATTGCCAGTTTAAAGCAATGTTTAAATAAATATTAAAAAAATTATAAATCATAATACACAATTATGATAAAAAATTTTTTTTTAAATCATAATTTATAAATAATTATAATAAAAATGCAAATATTTTTCACATTTAAATATTTTATTTTTTTGTTGTATTGCGTTTACTTATGATTTTTAATTTATTGATGTGACGTTTATTTTATTGACTTTAACTAGGTAAAAATTGTTTTTTACTTTTCGTTTAAATTTTTTTTAAAAAATTGTGTTGTATTAATTTTTCTAAATTTTTTTTCATTAAAGTGACCTGATGACGGTCTTCCAAAAATCGAAAAAATTAATTTATATTTGCAGAAGTATTTTTTATACTTTAAAAACAAATATTTTTTAAAAACAGCTATGATTAAGAAACAAATATTTATTACTTCGTTTTCCTTTCTTTGAATATAAAAAAAAATTTTGTAGAAATATTTAATTTGAAAATATACCATGAGCATCCATTTGCTTAAAAAATTATAATTTTTACAAATAAATGCGACTGGAACATAAATATTATACATTTTTTACATTTTCACTTGGAAGAAAATTAGTATTCTTTTATTACAGTGTATTTAATTGAAGAGTTGTCGAATAATCGAAATTTCGTAAAGCTAAAATTTTAAACAAATGTATTTGAATATCCTCGAAGATCTTTTTCACAAATAATTTAAAAAGTTTGATTTAGAGAAGAATTTTAGTTAAAAATTGTAGAAAATAATTATTGAATTAAGAAGATAAAAATAATTTTTAAGGAGTAACAGTAACAAGGGTTTGAATTTGACATTTTTAAAAATCTTAATTCCTGTTTTGAAAGATAAATTTATGAACTTTATGATAGTAAAATGTTTTTTTTAAATAACGTTATTTTCTAGAAAATATAATAATATATAAAAATAATATAAAAATATAATTCTAATTATAAGCAATGCCTGGGAAATTCAAAAATCATATTAGTAGATTGCAACGTTTGTAAAATTAAATTTTAGTGGCCCCATTTATTAGGTTGATCTTAAACTATATAGAAAAAAATAATGGAGAGCAATGCCAGCGAAATTCAAAAAGCCTTATAAATTATATATATATATATACCAATTATAAATTTTTTTGCACTAATTTTAGTGGCGCCATCTATTGATGTAACTCTTAACCCTATAGATAAAACAGAACATCCGTTTTAACCAACTTAAAACTATAAAATTTAAATATCCCGCCAAGGTAGTTTTAATTCGCTGGTGGTGCCATCTTGCGGTTCTACCTAAAAAGAACAAATCGGTCGGTAAAACAGATTCCTACCTGACCATCAGTGTTTGAATTCATAATAGATACCTACCGAGCAGTTACTGACTGTAGGTACTTAGCTAAGATCAGAACCTGCCCCAGAACTCTCCTAGCTTTACTACTTTTATACACTCTTGAAAGTACCTTAAACCTGATCAGGGCCAGACTTGACAATTCTGGTCAGGCCCACATCAGGAACATCTTAGGGCTCAGATCAGGGCCACGTAGGATTTAAATTTTGAATTTATATCTTTCGAAGATAAAAATGCATGAAATAAATATTTCTTATAATTTAACTTACATAGATCGACAACACTATTTTTAATGAAAAAACCTCATTCTTGAAGGATTTTTAAATAAAAAACACAAGAAAATAAAATTAATATAATATAATTGTATTATTTATTAACAAACCTTTTATTTTTTTACATGTATAAATCATTTTATTTTACAAATCATTTGTCGATTCTGGGATCGCATAGTGTCCCCATGGTAAGGTATCGGTACTCTCCGGTAACAAATACCGTTTGTCGTCTTTTGGATTTAACGCAACTTTAATTTGTTCTACAGTCTCAATGTTGTGTAGTCGCGATCTAATATTATACTGTGTTCGAGATTGAATTTTAAAATCTCGCAGACATTTTACATAATCATCAAAATGAATCGATTTTTTTATAACGGCGGATTTAATGCCTTTGGCTTTTTTAATAGAATCTTTATTTTCAACCCCTTTATTTTCAACCCGTAAGCTGTACATCTTACTTCGCAAGCCAACAAATTCTGTAACGATCTTGCCTTTACACTCATCTTTCATAAGGCCGAGGATCTTTTTGTTGGCTTGCGGAATGCCATACACATTGTTTTCGGGATAGTCTGACGTATCGAACCTTTGGATATCATTTTTTATATCATTGTAGACATCTTTACATTTGATTTCGTAGATTAGACTGTCTGTATCGGTATACAAAATTTTACAATTTTGGGCGTATTTTTTTAACATATACTTGTAGTGAAAATCGTAGATTAGCGTTTTTGATATATCGAGCACACTGAACCCTGCATAGATTGGTTTGTTGAGCAGTACCTCGGTTTTACGCAGCTCAATGGCAACCAGATTTTCGTCGAATATCGCTCGACTATGGAAGTTAGGTCGTGAGATAAGGGCTTCAGCTCCGTAGCGGCCAGACCATTTGGTAACAAGCCTAATGTCGACATGTTTACGGACATTTTCCATTGTTTTGCCGTTAACAGCATTGTTCATCAGCTTGAAAAAATTTTTCTCGAACTCATTCCTCGCGTTGGTTCGCAACGTCGTATTGTTGTCGATGTACGGTTTGAGCCAAGTTGATTGATTAAACGCTAGGACTCGGTGAATTTTTACAAGTTTAATGCCATTATCGACAACTTGTTTTAACGTTCGGTAGTGAATCACATATTTTTCTTTGGGTAGGAGAGTTGTTAATAATTTCTTCTGCTTTGATAGAGGGGGTTTTGCATTTTCTGCACAAAATGGCATGTCTTTATGCGTGTCGTGGAGACTTTTAGGATACTCCAAGTCAACTTCGAGTATGTACCCAACAGAGGAATTATCAGTTACATTAAAATTGAAAGAGTCGTCGACATTGTCTATCCATTTAAAGCCGCCATAAGGGAGCGCTTGAGCCATTGCCCAGCCATATAGATTGTTGGCGTCAAAGTACATGATGTAGCTTGTATCTTTGCTTTCATCGAAATTTTCCATATATGGATTATTCGCTTTAGTATATCGGTTGCAACACTGACTTATGCCACCTCTAATACCGGACTCAACAAACATCATCATATCGATATCAGTTATAAGTTGCAATTCCACTCTCGTATATTTAAGCATAGCATCCCAAGTTAAACCGGGGGTCGTATAATAGTGTGCAGGGTCCAAACCATACGCGTTAACACATTGTTCTCGGAAATTTTCGAAGACATCTGCAAGTAGTAACACATCTGTTTTCATATACAAATGGACGTAATCGTAGAGATTTTTACAGTTAAACTCAGTCCATACATTCTGCGCATGTGCATACTCATGATCAGAAATACCGTCATCATAAAGCGTACTATAAAATTTCTCTATCGGAGGCAATTCTGTCTCTTCAAGCTTGCCTCTTGAGTCAAAGTACTCATAGGGGAAGACACCCTTACGCGTCAATAATTTGATTTTATCCGGATCTGTCACCGTACTGGCAAAAACGGAGTTGACAATTTTATACTCGTCTAGGTACGATGCGAGTTTTTCTAGGGATTCTGACATGAATCGCAATGAGTCGATGAATCGAAATTTGACCTCACTCCCCTTGACATGTTTAGTAAAAGAGATATACCTCTCCTTGTTAATGGGGAGGAGGTCAATTTTCCCTTCAAAACTTGTAGAAATCGCGTGAATTATAAAATGGGCGTCATAGCCACTTAGATTGTGGAACACTACGGGGATCGTTTGACAATCTTGGTAGTTAAGATTGCATGATTCATGGGCAGCACCCCTATATTTGCCAGTAAGGTGACTATGATCACGGGCTTTCTTTTCTCTTGCCTGTATTTTCTGTTGACAAATGTGACAGACTGTCGCTCGCTTAAAATCTTTGATTTCTTGAGGAGTTAAAGTATTTATTGGTGTCGGATTTTTAAAAACATTATGAATTTTCTCAGATAATTTCTTTAATTCCTCAGCAAACCATTTAGCAGGGTCGGATTCATGTTCCGGACACGGTACATATTTACATAATGATTCATCGTAGCTGCATTTTATATAATAGCCGATGCTTAACAATTTATGACGCTGGAAAACTTGAGTCTTACTTAAATTGTCTACATCTTTATCGGCGGGAAGAAGTAGACTTTCACAATCGGCGTAAATCACATAGGGAACTCTCTCCTTATTTTTATAATTTTTAAATTTTATTGTACAATTATTAGGCCCTGGTAATTTAATTTTACACCCATTCACATTTTTACAATTTTCGATGTGTGCGTTCAGTCTATCTACAGATAAAAAATAGTGTAAGCATTTGTCACAAATATGTTTTTTACCATTTTTAGCAGACAATTGTTTCGATACAAGGCGTGATAAATCTTTTATCCATACATAATGGAAGTTCATAAAATCATCGTCATCATACAATTCATTATTGACGTCACTTTCATCCCCATACCTGTCAGCAACATACAAGAGATTTACATGCCTATCTCTTTTTTCCGTCGTAAGGTGAAGAGGGTGTACTGAAAAGTCACCATACCTCTTTTCAAGGCCGTAGACATTAATCGAAACGTCATTAATTTTTTCAAATTTCGGAACACTTTTTAACGTTACTGGAAATTCAATTCCGTCAAAGTTTAATTCATCTTTAAATTCTTTAAAATTAGACACACGTTTAGGATCGGAGATATTTGGATGTAAAGCTGACAGTACCGCCCACTTAAAACATTCATTGTCATTATTTTGCACGTTTATACATGCATGTTTAATTTTAATTTTTGTCGGTAAATCAATGTAAGAGCTTGCACGCATTGGATTGTATTTATTTACATTGATTTCTAATCTTATAATTGATTGAATATTCCAATTCGAACCTTTTGCGTAGAACTCTTCAACAGTATGCAAAATCGGCTGCTTGATGTTCTGCTTGAACCAATCATCTAAAAGTGTTGTAGGGAAGATGCTGTTGGCCTTGGTTCCAAAAGGAATTGGCTTCACTACTTCTTCATCATTCTCCACCCTTTTAAAGTTTGCGATGAGAACACTATACACGAGAATGGGTCCATTCTTATTTAAGGCACCTCTAATGTGGTCCTGAAACCGTATAGACGCATCGTCTAAAAATGAGCTTACATCAACGTGTGCGAGATTCAAGACCACATTAGTGTACAGTCTACACGCAAAAGCACTCTCACACTCTGCCCAGCGAATGCGTTTATTAATATCTGGATCACCGATTGCAGCGCCATCTACAATATGGGACTCAAACAATGCGCGAAGTCTAATGATGGATTGTAGAATGCTCACACATCTTTGCTTTTGATGTGTGAAATACATCGACATGAGAATTCTCGATAACAAGTTTTCAAGTTGTAAGCATTTTACAATCCATCGTTCGATAAATGAACGTCTTAAATTTACTTCACTTAAATTTGGAATTAACTGAAGAGCTTTTTTGATGTCAGCAACAGCGACATCATTCTCGTCAAGGATTGTATCGTAATTCGGATGTTTACGTGGTCCATTGGTCGACTTCAGCTTACGATTCATCTCTGCATTTGAAATCACCACGTCCACTGAAATTGAAATCACATGTCCATTTGAAATCACCAGTGGTGTCCCCAGTTCGAACCAGGGCGTAGGCGTCTTCGGACGATGCCACGGATACGTGGGTGGAGATCCTGGTAGTGTTGTCGGGAATGGAATCTTATTACCTTAATTCTGCAAATATAAATATATTTTATATTAAAAAAGAATTCTTTTTTATATTTTTATGTCTATTAAAAATTCGTCTAAATGACATTCTATTCAATAATAAAATTCTAATTAACGAAAAATTCGATAAATTAGAATTCGACGTATTGGAAATTCTGTCAAATAAAATTTTTATTATGAAAAAATTTTGTTTAATAGAAATTCGTTTAAATGAAAATTATAGTAAATAAAATTTCGCAAAAAGAAATTTCGCTTAAAATAAACTTCTAGCATATAAAATTCTGTCCTACAAATATAATAAAAAAAATTGTTTTATGGAATACTAAGGCGCCCCAATTTATGTTATTTTTTTAAAAAACATGATTTTGTATAAAAATTGTGATTATGAAACGGAAATTATGCCACTTGCACGAGTAATAAACAAATAAAAAATAAAAAAAATTTAATTGCAATTAAATAATTAATAATTCTTTTTCATTAATTTAAAAAAATATAATTATTTCGTTAATAATATCAAATTGAATTTCCAAAATCTTTCTTGCTTTATTCTTAACCAAAACTTGAAATTTTGTTTAAGAATTTTGAATCGACAAATAGCAAGGATAGATTATATTATTAAAAAAACAAAATTTTCTAATTTTCTTTTATAAGGAAAAAAAGAAAGGCTGCATAATTTGGATTTGTCAAACAAAAAAGTTTTTTTAAAGAAAAAATGTAAACTAAATTACATTAATTTGTAACTTCAACGCAAAAGAAAAATAAATGATGAATAAAAACATTTAATTTAATACTAATTTTTTTACATTAATAAGTAAATTTTTTAATTAAATCAAAAATAAAAAGAATTATAATAAATTAAAAGAATAAAAATAATATAACAATGTCTATCAAAACATATAAAAAAACAAAAGCCTCCACAAAAGTCTAACTTCAGGTGTGAACAGAGATCCGGAAATCCGGAATCACCACGATTATTATATATAATGATAATAATAATAATGCATTCGAGCAAAAAATCAATTGAAAAAAATTAACATAACATTCGTAAGTAAATAAAAAAGCTAATTAATCGTCTACAATAAACAAAATTAAAATTAGTTTTTTAAAATTATTTCACAGTAATAAAAATATATTTTTAAAAATTAATATATTCATGAAATATTTCGTTCCCTACTTGAACGCTTAGATTTTTTAATTGATTTTTCCATTTTTTTCATAGTACATTTAAATAAAAATTAAATAAGTAAACATTTATTATTTATATACCTATAAATAGTAATTATACTAAATGTGATAAATTTTCCACAGTAAACAATAATAATTGCAATTAAAATTAAAACAAAAAAAATAATTTTCTTCCATTACAATTTTTTTAATTTGATTCTTTACAGTAATAATAAAAATAAATAAAATTTGAAGAATTACAGTAAATAAATAAAAATATATTTGAAAAATAAATACTTTGATAAAATGTTACGTTTTTTAAACAATTTTTTTAATTTTATTATTTCAAAGTATAATAAAAATATTTTTTGAAAGTAATGTATGGGTGATTTTCAAATAACTGTGATTTTTTGAATAAGACGTTTTTCTGCTAAAATAGTGAACATGCCACGGACCTGACATTTTGCCACGGTCCTGACATGTGTGTCACAGTTAAAATACGTAAATAAATAAATAATCGAATAAATATTTTCTTTTCAATGTTCGCACTTCAAAATAATACCAGTAGAAGTCAATTAAAAATAAAATTGAGTAATAAAATCACGATGTCGTTAACATGTGTAGATAGAAAGTAATTAACAATTTAAAACATGAAAAAAGTGCTCGTGTACGTAGAATATCATTATAATAAAAATATTTTTATATGTAAAACATCTGGTTAGATTTGGCCTACAAAGTACTTAAAAGATAGTTTCAATATTTGCTCACGTAAAAATTTCAGAACCAAATTTAAAAAAAACGTATGCCACGGACCTGACAATTTGACCCTATTTTCTTAATTTTAACTATGATAATGATTAGTTAATGAACTGAATATTAAGTATCTTTAAGAAGAGACTTATATTAAGTGATTTATGAAGTGAGTGTCAAAAAAAAATAATTTTATTAGTCATTTATCTATGTGGACATGCAAATATGACAGTTATTTGAAAATCACCCATATAGGTGACGAAATATATTTTGTTCATTTGAACGCTTAGAATTTTAAATTTCATTTTTCATAGTAAATGAATAAAAAAAAATAATAAACATGCTTTTGAAAATAAATAATATGATAATTTTTCACAGTAAATAAAAAGAATTATTATTATATGAATAATAATAAAATACATATAATTAAAAACTTACCAATTTTTGTTGAACTGTATATTTCTGCAATTTATTCCAGCTTCTTATTCACTTCTTATTAATAATTAATTATTAATTAATTCTTGTTAATTAATTCACTTCACAATTACGTAGAGGAAAAAACGCGACGATTACGCATCAATAATCCACAAAAGTCTAACTTTAGGTGTGGACAGAGATTCGGAAATCTAGAATCACCACGATTATCATACACATATGGTCAAGGCAAAGCCTTTTACTACACTGTTGTAAGCAAACTTTTTACGCAGACCAGAATTATTATTATTAGGGAAGAGTGGGGAAAAGCAGCCACACTAACGGTTTTATGACTCTTGTGACTAAACGAATCAACCGATTTCATTTTTTGATGGCTTGTTTGAAAGATCATTAATTGCGCAACTTTTTCCCAGAGACACCAAAATACTTTATCATTTAGTTGCTGTCAAAATCATATATAAAATTTAATCATCATAATTAATTAAATTATTTTATATTACTTTTATTAAATATAAGGACCCTTCATTTTAATTTTAATTCTCGATCATTTTATTGAAATTCATATTTATTTCATATGAGCCTTCTTTTTCAAATACAAAAATTGATTATTTTTTGTTTAAAAATTTTTTTTTTCATTTTTTGTATTTTTCAAGTATAATGTAATATTGACAATTTTATAAAAACACTAAAAATGACTAAAATCCCAAAATTCAAATATTTAAACAATATTCTATACTCTATTTAATCTGAATAAGCGAGATTATAAATATCGATAACTGATAAAATTAGTCATACAACTATAACTAGTTCTTGAAATATACGATAATCATCATCTTAATGTTAAAAAAGATTCTCGAATAAATGTTAATATTATATATTTTTAAAGCAACTTTTCTCAGGATATCCTAATTTTATCAGTATTTTATTATTTTCAGTATTATTATCAGTATATATATTATTTATCATTTCCTGCCTAAAATTTATTTAGAAAAATTTTTTCTCCTTTTTCTTTTAACTTCCCTCATTTTTAAATGAAATTATTTTTTTTTAAAATTTTTTCTTTAAATTATTGATATTTATTTTATATTTTTTCGTAGTACGTGACTTTCTTTAAATTTTTAATCAAAATTTTGATTACAACGCTACTTTTGTTTTAAAATTACGCATGAATTTTATAAGATATGGGAACTAAACTTCAGAAAAAAAATTAGTAAAATGAACTTGGGATTTGGGAGAATTTTCTTCGAATATAGTAAAATTTAATATTAAAAATTATTACTAGAACAACTTTTACTATTTTCAAAGACAATTTTTTTTTATAAAAATTAGAAAAATTTATTTTAAAAATAGTAAAATTTACTCGAAAACTAAGAATATTTAATAAAATTGTAATGATCGAAGAAAATTTGAATAATTTTTACAAAAAATAGAAATAGAATTTAGAATATTTTTTGACAATAATTGAATCGTTTTAACCTTTAGAGGGACGGGGTGGCCACCATTTATTTTGACGAATCTTTTTATCAAATTGACTTCTTATTTATAAATTTTTTTAAATAAAAAACTACTAAAATCTGTGCAAATTTACCGGCCCTCTAAAGGTTAAAGAATTTGATTATAATTTTTAAGAACAGTTTTTTGATTTCTAGTATTAGCGAATTTAAAGTAGTGGAAATTCTCAAAAAACCAGAAATAGTAACTTTTAGTGGCTAAAATCTAAAAAAAAAAGTACCTGAATAGTAGAATAACGTAAAAAAAGTAGTAAATAGTAGGTTTTAGTAGATGAGTGCAAAGGGAGGGTTAGAAATTAAACAAAAATTTACCGAATAATTAAAAAGGGTCAGGGAACATAAAACAGCGTTAGTTTATGAATTTAGTTTTCAGAAGAACGAATAAAGAAATTCTAGAGGAGAAAAAAATATTTGTTGACCCCAAAAGGACCTGACTGTACTTTTCTTTTTTTTCAATGTTCGCATGTAAATTTTAATATTAAGCGGATACCGCAACGAATATAATAATTATGACGAGTGTGTAACCGTGCTTTGACAACTTTTTTCGACATATCTCTATCGCCAGTGTATATTCTTTAACTCGAAGCTGTCGTGGTTAATAGCTTTTCGGCGAACCACCACCGGTTGATTTACGATCGTCTGTTATCCTGTTCCCAGACTCAACTGCGACGAATTGCGTATAGGCGCAAGTAAAAAAATTCATATGTGCGATTTCCATTTCTATGCGGAAGTTTTAAAAAATTCTTTTCAAAACAATATTTTGTTTTTAAAAATTCTGTATTCATTTCACCTCAATTTCATCAAACTAAAAATGGAATTAATTATAATAGTATTGAAGCTAAAAATCGGACTCCAACTTTACACCAAAAGATTGAACATGATAAACTTTCAATCTCAAAAAGTGTGAATACTTTCATTTGATTGGATGCACTAAAATCTTGAAACCAATGAAATGCAAAAATTCACACTTTGCGAGATTGAAATAACATCATTTCAATCGTTTTGGTGTAAAGTTGGAGTCAGATTTTTAACAAAGATCACTCCGAGTCAAGATTTTAACTTGGAATGATCGTTGACTTCAATACTATTAATTTAATTAATTAACTTAATTAATTTAATTAATTTAACTTAATTAACTTAACTAATTTGACAACCAAGTAATTAATTAATTAACTTAATTAATTTGACAACCAAGTGATAGAAATATTATTTAAGCATTTTTCACAAGTTGTCAAAATAATAAGTTATCACAAAAATTTAATTTGGTTTTTCCCTGATTTTTCCCTGATTTCCAGAAAAAATTTTGACTTTTTCCCTGTGACCCTGAAGAATATTCTGATTCACTCCAAACATTATTAGATTAGATTATTAGATTAGATAGATTCCAAATCAATAACTTCTTTTTTTAAATAAATATTCACTCATTATTACTTTTCTATGAATTAAAGATTTTCAAATTCAAACCATTCTGAAATTCAACAACTTATGAAAATATTATTATATAAAACATGAAGAAAACGATCAACCCTATTCAAAAATTCAATTATTTCTAAAAATTCACGCTAAATGCTTTTAATATTCAATTATAATTTTCAATTTTAAGTGAAATTCATTTTTTAATCAATTTTTATTAGAAAATTTTCCGAGAAATCAATTATCTAAATACACAACTAAATAATTTATTAAATAATTGAATATTTTTTAAAATTGAAATTTTTATGAAGAATTTTATCAAAATTTTTAAAAATAATAATTGAATTCTTTCGTCGAAATTAAGAAAATGAAATTTTAAGAATAAATGCAATTTTCTATCATTTCATTTCAAATTGTATAAAAATTAATTTAAATTCTGCGATAAGTTTTGTTATTTATGAAAATAATAGAATTCTTGCAACGAATTTTATTAAAAAAATTTTTTTAAAAATTGAATTCCTATGAAAAAGTTTGTTTGTGAAAATTATTAATTTCTTGTGAAGAATTTTATTCGAATTTTTTTTTAAATAATTGAATTTTTCAAATTTTTTAAAACCTTTTGAATATAATTAAATCCCATCGAGAAACCTTCATTAAAAAAAATTGAAAATAATTGAAATCTGACAAAGAATTTTATTAAAATTTCTTAAATAATTGAATTTCTCAGAATTTTTTAAAACTCATTAAAAATAATTAAATTCCATCAAGAAACTTCATTAGAAAATTGAAAATAATTGAGATCAGATGAAAAATTTTATTAATTTTTTTTTAAATAATTGAATAGCAGTGAAAAATATTATTATTTATGAAAATTATTAAATTCTTGTAAAGAATTTTATTCGAATTCTTTTTTAAATAATTGAATTTTTCAGATTTTTTTGGAACTTTTTTGTAAATAATAAAATTCCATCGAATAATTTCTTTAAAAAAATTGAAAATAATTGAAATCAGAGGAAGAATTTTATTAAATTTTTATTAAATAATTGAATTCTTGGGAAGAATTTTATTAAAATTTCTCGGAATTTTTTAAAACTTTTTGAAAATAATTAAATTCTATCGAGAAAATTCATTAAAAAAAATAATAAAAATCTGAATTTTATAAAATTTTTTTTAAATAATTGAATTCTTGTGAAGAATCTTATTAGAATTTTTTTTTAAATAATTGAATTTTTCAAAATTTTTGAAAATAATTAAATTCCATCGGGAAATTTTATTAAAAAATTGAAAATAATTGAAATATGACCAAGAATTTTATTAAATTTTTTTTTAAATAATTGAATCCCTGTGAAAAATTTTTATTTTTGAAAATAATTAAATTGTTGTGAAGAATCTTATTATTCGGATTTTTTTTAAATAATTGAATTTTTTTAGATTCTTTTAAAACTTTTTGAAAATAATTGAATTCTATCGAGAAATTTCATTAAAAAATTTAAAATAATTGAAATCTGACGAAGAATTTTATTAATTTTTTTTTAAATAATTGAATTCTCGAGAAAAATTTTATTATTTTAATAAAAAAATTGATTTCTTGCGAATAATTTTATTCAGATCTTTTTAAATAATTGCATTCTCATAAAAAAATATATTATTTAAGAAAATAATTGAATTCTTAAGAAGAATTGTATTGAAAATAATTGAATTGCACAGGGAAATTTTATTAAAATTTTAATTTTATTAACTATAAATCTTGTAAAGAAACTTCATTAAAAATATTAAAAATAATTGAATTAGTGCAAAGAAATTTATAAAAAATTGGCAAGTAATTGAATTCCTGTGAGATTTTTATTAAAATTTTGTTTAATCAATTGAATTCCTTTTTGGCAAAATTTTATTAAAACAGTAGATATTAAAAACAATTTAATTGAGGAAAATTTTTGAAAATAATTGAACTTTTGTCAAGACTTTTATTAAAAAAATTGAAAATAATTGAAATCTGACGAAGAATTTTATTCAAATTTCTTAAATAATTGAATTTCTCAGAATATTTTAAAACTTTTTGAAAATAATTAAATGCTATCGAGAAACTTCATTTACAAAAATTGAAAATAATTGAAATCTGACGAAGAATTTTATTAAATTTTTATTTATATAATTGAATTCTCGAGAAAAATTTTAGTTTTTTTTAAAAAGAATTTAATTCTTGGGAAGAATTTTATTAAAATTTCTTAAATATTTGAATTCTTAAGAAGAATTGTATTGGAATGAATTGAATTGTACAGGGAAATTTTATTAAAATTGCAATTTTATTACCTATAAATTTTGTAAAGAAACTTCATTAAAAAATTAAAAATAATTGAATTGGTGCGAAAAAAATAAAAAAAATTGGTAAGTAATTGAATTCCTGTGAAATTTTTATTAAAATAGCACATATTATAAAAATAATTGAATTGAGGAAAATTTCCGAAAATAATTAAACTTTTGTCAAAAATTTTATAAAAAATTTTTGAAAATAATTGAATTTCGAAGAAGAATTTTATTACTTTTGAAAATAATTGCAATTTTAACTAGAATTTTTTTTAAATTTTTGAACATAATTGAATTTATGCCGAGTTATGCGAAGCAGTTTATTCTCTGACAAATTCTAATTTCTTTGACTTTTCTGACCTGTGGCAACCCTGTATTTGTATTTAATAAATTTCAGAAAATGAATCATTATTATGATTAGAAATAGAATTATTACGGTTGTTACTTATAGTAACAATTCCATAATCTTTTCGAGATAAAAGCTTAAGTTTCCGAGTGTGTATGACAATAAGTCGGTATAGTGTCTGGCAACACTGTGTATGACAAATTTGAAAAGTGGTGGGGGTGGCACAAAATATTTAGCATTCACACCCAAGATCCAACGCGAGCTCATTGACTCATTCAGAGTTTCTCGTTTCAGTTATCAACAACAATTTTTTCTTATTGATATTGAATTTTGAAACCAAGAGAAATTCCCCGTTTTTTGATTATATCAAAAAAAAATTATGACCGGCCGTGGTAAGGGAGTGAAGGGAATCAAGGGATTGGGTAAGGGAGGAGCGAAGCGTTATCGTCGCATTATACGCGACAATATTCGCGGTATAACGAAACCAACAATTCGTCGATTGGCACGTCGTGGCGGTGTGAAACGGATTTCGAATTTGGTGTACGAGGAGGTTCGTTGTGTTTTGAAATTGTTTCTGGAGAATGTGATTCTTGACGCTGTCACCTATACGGAGCACGACAAGAGGAAAACAGTCACCGCCATGGACGTTGTTTATGCACTCAAACGTAGAGGACGTCCGCTTTATGGTTTTGGAGATTAAAAATCAAAAAATTACATCATGAGTGCCGAGTCATTGTCAGAGGATATAATCATTTCAATAACAATCGGCCCTTTTCAGGGCCACTACATTTTTTCGATATGTGTAAGAATTTACTTTTTGTTTTGGGACTTGTTTGTGAAAACTGTGAGAGGTGCGCGCTCAATCGAGCGCAAGGTGCTACTTAGGGATTATTCACATATCACGTTAGGCAATTTTTTATATATATATATTATTTTATATATATAATATATAATAATATAATATAATAGAAAATTAACAAATATACCATTCGAAAGATTATTAAATCCTACTATTAATTATACATAACTGGAAATTTTAATAATTTATACAAAGATTGCAGCAATGCTAACAAATTTGACAAAAAAATTTTAATAACATTTTTTTTTTTTGAAATTTTTTCAAATTTAATTTAAGACCAAAAGAGTACAAAAATCTTAATCGGATAGCGAGATATCATAGAGCATTTTCAGCTTTTAAACTAAAAAAATAATTAAAAATATAGCTGTTGAAAAATTAAACTTGACGACAAAAAAAAAATTCGTTTCAATCACTTGAAAAAAATTTTTAAAAATTTAATTCCATAACTTTTATTTTTCTGACTTTTTCCCAATTTCTTCTTTGGAATTTTTTTTCCAATTCCTTCAACGAATTTTGTCATTCATCAAAGAATTTCAATATTCAGAAAAATAATTTAATTCTTGCGAAGAATTTTTTTGCGAATTCAAATTCAAATAATTTAATTTCCAAGAAAAAATTTATTACTTTTAAAAATAATTGAATTCATGTGATGAATATTGTTATATTTATGAAAATAATGGAATTTTGCAAAGAAAATTTTATTAAAATTCCTCAAAATATAATTGAATTTTCGGGAATAATTTTGTTATTTATCTTTAATAATTGAATTCTTTCGAAGAATTATTTATGAAAATAATTGAATTCTCGGAAAGAATTTTTATTAAAATTTAAAAGAATAATTGAATTATTTCAAAAAATTTTAATTAAAATTGTATTTAAAATAAATGATTTCTTTTGAACAATTTTATTAAAATATTTGACAATAATTAAATTCCTGTGAAGAATTCTAATATTTTTGCAAATAATAAATTGAATTCTTTAAAAGAATTTTAAAGAAAACGTTTTTTTAAATAATTGATTTTTTCGAGGCATTGAAATTCAATTTTTAAGAATAATTACATTTTTTGATCAATTCTTGTAAAATTAATATTAAAAATAATTGAAATCATGTGGAAAATTTTTTTATTTATGAAAATAATTGAATAGTTGTAAAAAAATTTTATTAAAATTTTTATAAATAATTGAATTTCTGTAAAAAAATTTTTATTTTTTTAAAATAATTGAATTGTTTTGCGAAATTTTATGAATATACTATAGATATTGAAAATCATTGAATTGCAAAAAGTTTTTAAAAAGAATTCTATTAAAATTTTTCAAAATAATTGAATTCATAAAAAGCATTTTATTATTTATGGAAATTATTAATTTCTTGTGAAGAATTTTATTAAAATATTTGAAAATAATTGAACTGTATATTCAACTTCTTAATTTATATAGTTTTGACTGTTAATTATTATTAATGATATATCATAAATTTTTTTACTTTGCTTTCCTTATTGCGATAAAATTATAAACAGTGAATATGGAATCAGCAGAATTTGTTTTCAAAAGTCAGCTCATTTTGAAATCCTAATATAAATTTTTCATTATACAAAGATTGAGAATATTCAAGTAAATATATAAAAATTAAAAATGACAGTTAATTATCCAAAATTGTCCACCAATAAATAAATAAAGAAACAAAAATTAAGAAACAAAAATTAAGAAATAGAAAATAAATAATTTTTTTGGAACTAAAAATAAAAGTGAAAAAAATTATAATATATAATATATAACTTCAATTATTTATAATAATTTCTCAAAAGTTCTTCAAGAATTCAATTACTTAAATACAAAAATCTAATTTTTCGATTAAAATTCAATTTTTTCAAATATTTTGTCAAAAATTCTTCGAAATTTAAAAAATGTACAAAAAATTTAATTTTTAGATAAAAATTTAATTATTTTCAATAATAATTTCTCAAAAGTTCTTGGATAATTCAATTATTTAAATTGAAAAAATACTTTTTAATAAAAATTCTATTATTATTTTCAGTAATTTTCCGAAAATTTTTTGAGAATTTAATTATTATTTAAATGTACAAAAAATTTAATTATTTCTAATAATATCTTAAAAGTTTTTCGAGAATTTAAACAATTTTTCTAAAGTTCTTCAAGAATTCAATTATTTAAATACAAAAATTCAATTTTTATTTAATAATTCAATTATTATCAACAATTTTCATAAAAGTTCTTAGAGAATTCAATTATTTAATTTTTCATAATAAAAATTAAATTATTTTCAACAATTTTCCTAAAGTCCTTTGAGAATTCAATTATTTAAATACAAAAATTGAATTATTTTGAATAATTTAAAATAAAAATTCTATCCTTAGTTATAAAATGAACGATAATAGTTTTTTATACATACCTATGTAATTTAAAAATTTCCAAACAATTGAAATTTGGTAAATTCTATTCAAAAAAATAATTGAATTTTTAAAAAATTTTAATTATTAATATAAACGCGATTTCTCCAAAATTTTAATTAATCTAAAATAAAATTCTAAGAATTATTTTTTCAAAAATATTTTAATATAATTTTTAAAAGCTAATTTTCATTAATTACCATTTTTGAATTTACACGTTGAAGATTTCTAATTAAAATTTTTGAGAAATCAATTATTTTCAAAATTTCCAATTAAAATTCTTTAAAAGTTCATTTTCAAAACTTTTTTATAAAACACTTTGAAAAAAATCAATTACTTTGAATTAAATTTTACGAAATTTCAATTTTTGAAACTCTTTTTTATTGTAAATTTTGAAAATTTATTTAGTATTTATAAAAATAGTTGAATTGTTTCGAAGAAATTATTAAAATTTTAGGAAATAATTGAATTTCATGAAAATATTTGAATCCTTCCGAGAAATTCAATTAAAGATGTTTTGAAAATAATTGAATTTCTGCAAAGAATTTTACTATTTATAAAAATAATTGAATTTCGGTGAAGAAGTTTACTATATTTCTAAAAATAATTGAATTCCTGAATTCTTTGTTAAATTTTTTTTAAACAATTGAATTTCTGTGACGAATTTTATAAAATTCTTTTTAAATAATTGATATTTTTCGAAAAAAATTTTGAAATTTTTTATATTAAATAATTGAATTCCTGTGAAAATTTTATTATTTCTGAAAATAATTGATTTATTTCGAAGAAATTTATTAAAAATCTTGAAAAATTATTGAATTCCTGTGAAATTTTGCCAAGAATTTTTTTAAAGTTTTTAAAAATAATTGAATTTCGAAGAAGAATTGTATTATTTATAAAGATAATTGAAATTTTGACGAGAATTTTTAAAAAATTTTTGAACATAATTGAATTTTGGAGAATTTTTTTTATTTTTAAGGATACAAGTAATTGAAATGACCAGAATTTTTTTAATTTTCGAATATAATTGAATTTCTGCAAAAAATTTGATTACTTTTGAAAATAATTGAATTTCTGAAATTATTTCTAACTTTTCCAAAATTCAATTTTTTTTAGTATTTTTAACAAAAATTCTTTTATCAATCTAGTATTTATGAAAATTGTAAAAGTGATTCATTAAATAATTTCTAAGTCTTTATTTTATGATATAGTTCTTGTAAAATGAAGTTATGTAAAAATAAATTATTGTCTGAAATAGAAAAAATTCAAGGTTTTGTATTAAAATTCGTGGTAATTTCATAGTTTACGAGGCAGACAAATAAAACATCAAAATTCAGAGTTTTTTCATGAATTTTTAAAATTCAATTTTTTAAGTAATATAAAGTAATATAAAATTTCAAGATAAATGTAAGAACAAAAAATTTTCCAAACGTAATCGAGAAATAATTGGTGGCCCTGAAAAGGGCCGATTGATATAAAAAACTCTTTTCTAGCGAGAAAAAGTTTCATAAACTATTTTCATATATTAATATAGAAAAAAAAAAAATATTCATTTTTTGTATATTTTTTCTCCTCCTTCCACAATTTTTTTTTACTCTCCTTCTATTTCCCTCTTGCTCCCTCCTTAGAAAAATGGATCTCTCTTCATTAAATGTATCAAAATTCGCGTGCATTCATCAAATGAAATATCAATTTTCTTCGCAATATTTTGCACAGTCATATTCTCCTGACTCTTCAGTATACTCCTCACTTGTAGAATTTTATTCATATAATCAGTGGCACTGATTTCATTTTCACTATCTTTATTCTCATCGTTACAAATAACAACGTCATCGTCATCAAAATCATTAACTCCATCAGGCGATTTTTTAATGCGATCCAAGTGTTTTTGGAAAATTTCAAAAATCCTCTTCTGCGGCAAATGATCATTGGGAAAGGCAATTTTTATCATTTTAAATGTTTCACTTGCGGAGAAATCATTTTCAAAACAAAATTTCACGCAAATTTTCTGCTCTTTTTTCGTTAGACTCAACATTTTTGTACTGATATTTTTTTTCTTCTTTGCTGTTTACACTTTTTTTTTATTTCTTTCGAAAGTTTTTAAGCGTTTTTAAGTTTTTTAATTAAAGTATTTTTAATATAAAATGTACGATATAATTTAATATACAAAAGTCCAATTCGAGATTCGGACTTCAACTGAAGGAGTTTTTATTATTTCGAGTCTTTCGAGAAATATTATATGTTTACTAAAAGCTCGGTGTGTACAACGAGAAACGTTGGTCGAAGAAAAAGAAGAGGGGAGGGGAGACGAGGTTCTATTTAGTGAAATGTAAACATCGAAATATTTTCAATATTCTCCCTTTTGTGACGATATTTCTCTGACAATTTTCTTCCAGTGTTTAAATTTGCGAATGATTTAAATGAATTTAAAATTTAATATTTTTATATTGACTATTTTTTTATTTTTTTATTTCATTAAATCAAATTTAATTTATGAAATTAAATTCACATTAAATTAATAATTAATAATTGTTAAAACCAATTTATAACAAATAATTAACTAAATAAACAGATAATTAAAATTAATAATTTAATCATTTATTGTATATTGTATATGTAATTATAATTAATATAATTAATAATTATATTTAATATAATTAATAATTATAATTAATATAATTATAATTATAATTAATATAATTATAATTATAATTATAATTAATATAATTATAATTATAATTAATATAATTATTACTTTCAATGAAAAAAAATTAATAAATTTGATTCAAATAATTATTTACTTGCATGAAATAAATATTGTACTTAAATTAAACAAACAAATTCATTATTAGAAACAAATAGAATTTAATTGATTCAAATAAAAATTATAATTTTTATCAATTTCCCCTTTTCAGACTCTTCGCACTCGATTATTTTTACAAAAAGTTTTTTAAATAATTGAATTCTGTTTGGAATTTTTTTTTTTGAAAATTACTATTTTCTACTGATATTGAAAATCATTGAATTGCGAAAAGTTTTTAAAAATTATAAAATTTTACAAAGAAATCTATTAAAATTTTTGACAATAATAATTAAACGTTTTTGTGGTATTTTATTCAATTTTTTTTTTTTTAAATAATTAAATTCCAAAAAAGCATTTTCTTATTTATGAAAATAATTGAATTTTTGCGAACAATTTTGTAGGAATTTTTTAAAAATAATTGAATTTGCAAGAAAAAATTTATTACTTTTAAAAATAATTGAATTTTTAAGAAAAAATTTTTTACTTCTAAAAATAATTGAATTTCCAAGAAGAAATTTATTATACTTTAAAAAATAATTGATTCTTGTGATGAATATTGTTATTTATGAAAATAATAAATAATTGAATTTTCCAAAGAATTTTATTAAAATGACTCAAAATAATTGAATTTTCGGGAATAATTTTGTTATTTATCTTAAATAATTGAATTCTTTCGACGAATTATTTACGTAAATAATTGAATTCTTAGAAAGAATTTTATTAAAAGCTAAAAAAATAATTGAATTATTTAAAAAAAAATTGAATTAAAATTATATTTAAAATAATTCGTTTTTTTCGAACAATTTTATTACAATATTTAGGAAAGAATTTGAAAATAATTGAATTCCTGTGAATAAAAATTGTAATATTTTTGAAAATAATTGAATTCTTCTCAAGAATTAAAAAAAACATTTATTTGAATAATTTATTTTTTCGAGGAATTGAAATTAAATTTCTTTTTAAAAATTACATTTTTCGAACATTTTTTGTAAAATTGAATTAAAAATAATTGAAATCAGGAGAAGAATTTTATTATTTATGAAAATAATTGAATTCTTCTGAAGAAAATAACTATTTATAAAAATAATTGATTTCTTGTCAAGGATTTTAAAGAAATTTTTTTAAATAATTGAATGCTTGTGATGAATATTGTTATTTATGAAAATAATTGAATTTTACAAAGAATTTTATTAAAATCCCTCAAAGTAATTGAATTTTCGGGAATAATATTTTGATATTTTCGACATAATTGAATTTTTTCGAAGAATTATTTATGTAAAGAATTGAATTCTTGGCAAGAATTTTATTAAAATCTAAAAGAATAATTGAATTATTTCAAAAAAATTTAATTAAAATTCATTTTAAAATAATTGATTTTTTCGAACAACAATTTTATTTTAAAAAATTCGAAAATAATTAAATTTTTGCGAAGAATTTAACAATTTAAGGCGAAAACAATTAAATTTCTTTAAAGAACTTTATTATTTATAAAAATAATTGATTTCCTACGAAGAATTATATTATATATGAAAATAATTGAATTCCCGCCAAGAATTTTATAGAAACTTTTTTAAATAATTTGTATTCCTTGAAGTATTTTATTATTTATGAAAATAATAAATAATTGGCTTCTTGCGAACGATTTTACTAGATTTTTTTAAAAATAATTGAATTTTCAAGAAAAAATTTATTACTTTTAAAAATAATTGAATTCTTGTAATGAATAATATTGTTATTTGTGAAAATAATTGAATTTTACAAAGAATTTTATTAAAATGACTCAAAATAATTGAATTTTTGGAAATAATTTTGTTATTTATCTTTAATAATTGACTTCTTTCGAAGAATTATTTATGAAAATAATTGAATTCTTCCGAAGAAAATAACTATTTATAAAAATAATTGATTTCTTTCGAACAATTTTATTAAAATATTTGAAAATAATTGAATTCCTGTGAAAAATTCTAATATTTTTAAAAATAATTGAGTTCGTCTAAAGAATTTTAAAAAATCATTTTTTTAAATAATGGATTTTTTCGAGGAATTGAAATTAAATTTTTAAGAATAATTACATACTTTTCGAGCAATTCCTGTAAAATTTTATTAAAAATAATTGAAATCCTACGATAAATATTATTATTTATGAAAATAATTGAATAGTTGCAAAGAATTTTATTAAAATTTTTAAAAATAATTAAATTCCTGAGAAGAATTTTATTATTTATGAAAATAATTAAATCGTTTCTTAGAATTTTATCAAAAATTTTTTTAAAAAATTGAATTTTCATGAAAAATGCTATTATCAGTGAAAGTAATTAAATTATTGTGAAGAATTGTATAACAATTTTGTTAAATAATTGATTATTTATATAGAATTACACATTTTGTTATTTAATTAGTTATAAAGACTTATAATTTCAGTTAAATTAATTAATTTTGAAAAGAAATGAAATAATAATTTTCCACTTTACTCCAAAACGATATTTTTTATAAAAAAACATTTATTTATTTAAACAATTAATTTCAATATGTTGACAAAAAACTGTTATGGAATGGAATAATAATAAAAAAAAAGTGAGAAAATAATTGTTTACGTAATTAGTAATTATTAAAAATCGATTTATAATTTTTGTCATTTTTCTATTGAAAGAAAAAAAAAAGATTTGAATAAATGTCAAATTGAATATAATTTGAATAAAATTTAAAAAAAAACTGATTTATCATTTTTGACGTTTCTGCAAAGTAATTATAAATATATATCCAACACACGAAGTGCACTTATAATTAACAATGTTGCAAAAGTGAGTAAGAATTTTTATTCTTCTATTCAATATTGTATACATATAGCACATGATCACGTGAAAAACATTTTCTGCATGAAGTAATAATTTATATTTGCAGCGTAAATTTATCTATGAATTCAGTTTTCTTCGACTCATCGTAGGAGAAACAAGATGTGCATTTTTTTATTATTATTGTAATTGTTAATATTCTCGTTAAAATAATCGAAAATTAAATATTTTTCAAAAAAAATTTTCATTTAAATTTTGTTTATTAAAAAAAAAATTATAGTGAAAATAAAAGAAAAGTAAACAAAAAATAGAGAATTGAACAAAAAAAAAATGTTAAATAAATAAAAAGTAAGGAAAAATATTTAGAAAAAAGTTAAATAAATGAAAAAAGTAAATAAAAATAAGAAAAGTGAATAAAAATAAGAAAAGTGAATAAAAAAATAAAAAGTAGATAAAACTAAAAAGCAAAATAAAAAAATAAAATAAAAATAAGGATTGTAAAAAATAATAAGGAAATAAAATCCAAAAAAAAGTAATTTAAGGTCAGAAAAGTGAATAAAAACTGAAAAAATAAAATCAAAATACTGAAAAATAAAAAAGTGAACGAAAAATAAAGAAATAAAATTGAAAAACCGAATAAAAGCAGAAAAGTGAAAAAGAAAATTAAGAAATAAAATCGAAAAACTAAATAAAATAAGAAATTGAATAAAAACAGTGAAATAAAATAAGAAACCTAAAAAGATACCAAAAGTGTTAACAAAAAAATAAATAAAAACAAAAAACTAAATAAAATAAGAAATTGAATAAAAACAGTGAAATAAAATAAAAAACCTAAAAAGATAAAAAAAAGTGTTAACAAAAAAAAACAAAAACAAAAAACTAAATAAAATAAGAAAAGTGAATAAAAAATAAAAAAAACAACAAATAATAAAGAAAAACAAGAAAAGAAAACAAAAATTTAAAGAATAAAGCTGAAAGAAGGAAAAAAAGAAAAAAATGGCAGTTTTATCAAACCTGTGGATACCGACAATAATCCTAATATTAACAACAATTCTAACAGCCTACATTTACATGACAAGAAAATTTAAACACTGGCGAAAAAAGGGAGTCATTGAAATGGAACCAAAACCATTTGTCGGTAATTTTGGCAAATGTTTATTAATGAAAATATCCCCTGGACAATATTTTAAAAAAATGTACGACTACGGCAAAGGCCTGCCGTACATTGGAATTTATTTATTCGATCGTCCAACGTTAGTCCTACGCGATCCAGAATTGATAAAACGTATTTTAATCAAGGATTTCAATTATTTCGCCGATCGCTATTCACGCGCTGCAATTAAGGATCAACTTGGGAATTCAAATTTGTTTATGATCAAAAATCCCGACTGGAAAACCGTGAGGTCAAAATTAACGCCAATATTCACGTCGGGACGCTTGAAGAATATGTTTGTCCTCATGGAGGAAGTTGGGAAGGATCTTGATACTTATTTGGAGTCGCAATTAACGCAAGGTGAGTTTTTTTAAAATTTTTTTAAAATTTAAAAAAAAATTTTTTTTTCTTTCTTTTTTTTTTTAAATAGAAAACGAATAAAATTCTCAACTTTTACTATTTTCAAAGTAAAACTTATACTGACAGTAAATTCTTGCGCTATTATTGGCAATTTTTACTATTTTCCAAAATATATCATTTTTATATAAATTTAATTAATAATTTTTTTAAAATTAATTTTTCCAACTTAACTTTCTTAAATGAAATCATTTTTCCTAATTAAAGAATTATCCAGATAATTTTTCAGAATTTTCCTAATTAACTTTTCCGAATGTAATCATTTTTCCTAATTAAAGACTTTTCCAAGTTAATGTTTCCAAATGAAATCATTTTTTTTAATTAAAAAATTTTTCCAAGTTAATTTTTCCAATTAACTTTTCCAAAAGAAAGGATTTTTCCTAATATTCAATTTCCCTAAGTTTCCAAAGTTTTCTTTTCCAAATACAATAATTTTTCCTAATTAACAAATTTTCCAAGTTGAATTTTCCAAATTAATGAATTTTTCCAAGTTAACTATATTCCAAATAAAATCATTTTTCCAAGTTAACTTTTAAAAATGAAATAATATTCCATAATTGAAAAATTTTCATAATTTTTCACAATTACCTTTTCGAAATGAAATAATTTTTCCCAAGTAAAGAGTTTTCAAGTTAATTTTTCATAATTTTTCATAATTAATTTTTCATAATTTTTCCTAATTTTTCCTAATTAATTTTTCCAATAGAAATAATTTTTCCTTTTTCATTAAATTAATAGATTAATTTTTCCAAGTTTCCAAATTAACTTTTCCAAATAATAATAATTAACAATAATTTTTCCTAATTAACAAATTATCCAAGTTGAATTTTCCTAATTAGAAAATTTTTCTATTTTAATCTTTCCAAATAAAATAATTTTTCTTACTTATAAAATTGTCAAGTTAGTTTTTCCTAATGAAATAATTTTTCCTAATTAACAAATTTTCCTAATTTAATCATTTTTCCTAATTAACAAATTTTCCAAGTTAATTATTATTCCAATTAACTTTTCCAAAAGAAATAATTTTTCCTAATTCATTAAATTAAATGATTAACTTTTCCAATTAAATTTTCCATAAGAAAAAATTTTTCCTAATATTTAATTTTTCCAAGTTTCCAAGTTTACTTATCCAAATGAAATAATTTTTCCTAATTAACAAAATTTTCAAAATTAATTTTTTTTAAATTAAATAGTTGGAGGACGAAAGTTCCAATAATTCTTTATTCCAAAACCAAAAAGGTTCAGTAAATAATTCTTATTTACAAATACCAAAAGATTCCAAAAATTTTTTTCCAATTCAAACATCAAATTTAGAGTCTTTTTCGTTATGTCTTCCGTCACTTCTAAGAATTACGAGAAACAAAATGGCGGCGGATAAATAAAACAGCTGATCCACTTGAAATCTTATGATTCGTCTAAATTCCAAATTAAACAGAGTTAAACGACGATTTTTTTTTTTAAACAATTTTTCCCAATGGCAAGAATGTAAATTACTTAAATAATTAAATATTTTCCCCGAAATGAAATGATTAATTATACAAAAATAAAATAAAATAAACTTATACAAAAATAAAATTTTTTTGCTCCAAAAAAAAATTCCTTTGACGCAAAACAAATTTTCAGATTTGTTATTTTTTAGAGTGTAAATCGTAAAATAATGATGAATTTTAAAGGGGACTTTACATTGTCTTTTTTTTCACTTCCTGAAAATTAAATAATTGTACAGTCCGGGCCAAAAATTATTATACGCCTATTTTTAAAATTAAAATCATAAATAGCATGAATCACAGTGATTTTTTCATGTAATATTTTTTTTTTATAAAAATTAGAAAAATTTATTTTAAAAATAGTAAAATTTACTCTAAAACTAAAAATATTTTTTATAGCCAATTAATTTAAAAAAAAAATCGTGAAACATTTAAAATAATGTTTACAAAAAAATTTGGTGTAAATTTTGGTGTTAAAAGTCGTTAATTTTAAATGAGTAAATTTTATCAATAGTATGTGGTAAATTTTGTTGAAAATTAGTAAAATATAAGATTTAAAAAAAATACCCTTTTAACTTTAAATCTTTCTCGATTGTCTTTGAAAAATAACGAAAAATAACGAAAAATAATAATAATAATAATAATAAAAATAATAATATAATAATAATAATAATAATAATAATAATAATAATAATAATAATAATAATAATAATCCGAAATAATAATATCAATAATAAGTATTATTACTTTTATTATTTTTATTATTTTATTATTTTTATTATTTTTATTATTTTTATTATTTTTATTATTTTATTATTTTTATTATAACGATAATATTGAAAATAATAAAAAGAATAATATTGAAACGATTATTTAAAAATAATCATCACCAATAATTGGAATAAATAAACATTATGATAATTAGTATGTTATATAATACGTATAAATTAGTATAATTTAACGCTGCAATTAGAATATTTCAACGCAAATTTATTATCATTAAAAAAATGTAAATTGCATTTTTTTCTCGATATACGTTTGGAAAATCAAAGCATAATTTGTTGAGAAATATTCAAAGTTTAAAAAATCTATTTCACTAATGCAATTCATCGCTTATCATTAATGTACAAGATAACAGAAGTTGAACTATATTGAGTCAATATATTCTATTGAAAATGAAAATCATAATTATTTTCACTTATTTCCTCTTATTTCGACCCCTTTTTCCATTTATAAAATTTCTATATTTATAATACAATTTTTATTTGTCGCTGAATGTTTATATGCAAGAAATTTTATTTTAATTATTTTTATATTAATTTTTTAAAAAATATTATTAAAATTATTATTAATTTGTTTTTATTTGTTTTAATTAATTTTAATTCATTTTAATTAATTTTAATTAATTTTAATTAAATTTAATTAATTTTAATTAAATTTAATTAATTTTAATTAAATTTAATTAATTTCAATTAATTTTAATTAGTTTCAAATTATTTTAATTAATTTCAATTAATTTTAATTAATTTCAAATTATTTTAATTAATTTCAATTAATTTTAATTAATTTTAATTAATTTTAATTAATTTTAATTTGATTTTTATTTGACTGACATTCTGTTCAATAAAAATTCTCTATAGCAAAATGAAAAATTCGATAATAATTAAAATTCGTTAACGTAATGGAAATGTTGTCAAATAAAATTTCGATTATGAAAAAATTTTGTTTTACAGAAAATAGAAATTCGTTTTAAATGAAAATGATAGTAAATAAAAATTTGCAAAAAGAAATTTCGGTTAATGAAAACTTCTAACACATAAAATTCTGTCTTTCGAAAATAATTTAAAAAAATTGTTTTATGAAATATTATTATTTCATAAAAAATATAATATAAATATAAATAATAATATAAATAAGAAAAAAAATTTTTTAAATCCTTAAAAATTGTTTTGACAGACAAAACATGTACCTTGGAAATGAAGGAAGTGTGCGCAAAATTCACCACCGATATGATTGGTACAACAGCGTATGGCTTAAAAGTGAACTCCCTCAACAATCCCGATGCGGAATTTCGTAAATGTGGAAAGGAAATATTCACATTCAGCCTGAGACGTTCCATTGAATTCGTAGTGATGTTCTTCTTTCCCGATTTAATTGATGTTTTTGGCTTTCAATTATTTGCCAAAGAAAGTACAAAATTCTTAAGGAATGTTTTTTGGGACATCATTAACGAACGCATTAAATCTGGTCAGAAGAGAAATGATCTTATCGATCTTCTTGTTGAATTAAAACGAAGTCAAGAGAATGAAAATGCATCACTTGATAAAAATACGTTTAGTGAGTAATATTCATTTATTGAACAACCTACTTTATAGCATTTTGTCATTTTTTAAAAAAACCCATTTAATTTTAGAAATCAAATTTTGAACTAAAGTATTTTTTTGTTTAGAACAAACATAAAATTAATGTTATGTTGGTTTTAAACAAAAAAATACTTAAATTAAATTTTAAACTTAAGAATTTTTTTGTTTAAAACTAACATAAAATTAATGTTATGTTAGTTTTAAGCAAAAAAATATTTAAATTAAATTTTAAACTTAAGTATTTTTTTTAGAAAAAATATAAAATAAATATAATAATAAATATAAATAAAATAATAAATTTATAATAAATATAAATATAATAAATAAATAAATAATAAATAATAAATATAAAATAAATATAAAATTAATTTTATGTTGGTTTTAAACAAAAAAATACTTGAGTTTAAAATTTAATTTCCAAAATTAAGAGGGAGATGATGTGGGTATCAATTTTAGCTTCATAATAAAATTAAAAAGCAACAATTTTGATACTAAAATAGTAAATTTTTACAATTTACAACAGAATTTGATGGTGATAACTTAGTAGCACAAGCTGCAGTCTTTTTTACCGGGGGATTTGAAACATCATCGACAACGATGTCATTTGCATTATATGAATTGGCTGTTAATACCGAAGTGCAAAATAAATTGAGATTTGAAATCGAAGAAGCACTACAGGAAAATGATGGAAAAATAACATACGAAATGGTAATACTATTTAAAATTTTTCCTTATGTATCTTTATATAGCTATAAAAACATCTATCTATATTAACAAAATCAGACTTCTGTCTGTACATTGCTCCAAAATTGAAAATTTTTACATATTTTTTCGTTTTGAGACATTAGAATTCGAAAAATGTAAAAAAAAAAAAAATTTTGTCTGTCTGTATGCAAAACTTTGTTCGTGCATCAATTGAAAACGGTTTAACCAATTAAAGTGAAACTTGGCAGTCTATTAGGTATTAACGTAACTTAAAATCATAGCCTTATCCGATTAAAAAATATTAACTTGAACGAAAGTTATGAAATTTTTCCAAAAAATTCGAAAAATCAAAAGAATGCAAATTTTTTATTTTTTGTAAAATGAATGCAAAACTATCCTTAGCTAACTTTTTCAGATAAATACAACCCATTTCTACAATGAAATTTTTAAAAAAGACGTATTTTGAAATTCTTTTCGTTTTTTTAGATCAACTTTTTTCTAAAAATGTAGTGATTCTTAATTTTTAAGCAAGCTTTTCAGGAAAAGTTATTAAAGTTTTTTATTTAAAGACCAGTATGTAAAGTAAGAAATTTGCTACATTAGAAAAAAATATTGTTTCATTATTCAGTTTTTAAAATCAACAAAGTTATTCACGAGTTAACAAAAAAATATTCATATGAATTCAAAGTATCACTGCTCCTCAAAGGGTTAAATATTGATTAATTCTTGCATCAAGTTGGTGTTGATATTTTCTGATTAATTAATTAATTTGTATTTTTGGCAATTCTAATTTAGATTTTATCATAAAAATAGAAAAAATTAGTAATTTAAAATCTAAAATTTTAAAGTTCATATATTTTTATACCTACATAGAAATGAAAATATTGATACCTAATAATTATTTTCATTTTACTTCCCCACTAGCACGTAATGTTCCAGTAACACTGGCAATATTAAATAAGTAACGTGTTTTTGAAGAACCCAAAAATAATGAAGCTAAATGCCCTAAAAAAGAAGAAAAAATGTTGAATTTTAAAAAATTCGGTTTTTGAATTTTTGATAATTTTAAATTTTTTATCGAAGGGTGGAGACTATTAAAAAAGTAAAGTATTTTCGAAGAGCCCAAAAATAATGAAGCTAAATGCCATAAAAAAGATGAAAAAATGTCGAATTTTAAGAAATTCGGTTTTTGGATTTTTGATAATTTTTGATAATTTTAGATTTTTTACTAAAAATTGGAAAATTTTTAATAATTCAAGTATTTTTTAAAAGCACAAAAATATTGAAGCCAAATGCCATAAAAAACAAGAAAAAATGTTGAATTTTAAGAAATTGGGTTTTTTGGATTTTTGATAATTTTAAATTTTTTACGAAAGGAAGGATATTTTTAAATAAGTAAAGTATTTTTGAAAAGCACAAAAATAATGAAGCTAAATGCCATAAAAAAGAAGAAAAAATGTTGAATTTTAAAAAATTCGGTTTTTGGATTTTTGATAATTTTTGATAATTTTAGATTTTTTACTAAAAATTGGAAAATTTTTAATAATTCAAGTATTTTTTAAAAGCACAAAAATATTGAAGCCAAATGCCATAAAAAACAAGAAAAAATGTTGAATTTTAAGAAATTGGGTTTTTTGGATTTTTGATAATTTTAAATTTTTTACGAAAGGAAGGATATTTTTAAATAAGTAAAGTATTTTTGAAAAGCACAAAAATAATGAAGCTAAATGCCATAAAAAAGAAGAAAAAATGTTGAATTTTAAAAAATTCGGTTTTTGGATTTTTGATAATTTTTGATAATTTTAGATTTTTTACTAAAAATTGGAAAATTTTTAATAATTCAAGTATTTTTTAAAAGCACAAAAATATTGAAGCCAAATGCCATAAAAAACAAGAAAAAATGTTGAATTTTAAGAAATTGGGTTTTTTGGATTTTTGATAATTTTAAATTTTTTACGAAAGGAAGGATATTTTTAAATAAGTAAAGTATTTTTGAAAAGCACAAAAATAATGAAGCTAAATGCCATAAAAAAGAAGAAAAAATGTTGAATTTTAAAAAATTCGGTTTTTGGATTTTTGATAATTTTTGATAATTTTAGATTTTTTACTAAAAATTGGAAAATTTTTAATAATTCAAGTATTTTTTAAAAGCACAAAAATATTGAAGCCAAATGCCATAAAAAACAAAAAAAAATGTTGAATTTTAAGAAATTGGGTTTTTTGGATTTTTGATAATTTTAAATTTTTTACGAAAGGAAGGATATTTTTAAATAAGTAAAATATTTTTGAAAAGCACAAAAATAATGAAGCTAAATGCCATAAAAAAGAAGAAAAAATGTTGAATTTTAAAAAATTCGGTTTTTGGATTTTTGATAATTTTTGATAATTTTAGATTTTTTACTAAAAATTGGAAAATTTTTAATAATTCAAGTATTTTTTAAAAGCACAAAAATATTGAAGCCAAATGCCATAAAAAACAAAAAAAAATGTTGAATTTTAAGAAATTGGGTTTTTTGGATTTTTGATAATTTTAAATTTTTTACGAAAGGAAGGATATTTTTAAATAAGTAAAATATTTTTGAAAAGCACAAAAATAATGAAGCTAAATGCCATAAAAAAGAAGAAAAAATGTTGAATTTTAAAAAATTCGGTTTTTGGATTTTTGATAATTTTCGATAATTTTAGATTTTTTACCAAAGGGTGGAGACTATTAAATAAGTAAAGTGTTTTTAAAGAGCACAAAAATATTAAAGCTAAATGCCATAAAAAAGAAGAAAAAATGTTGAACTTTAAGAAATTCTATTAAAATTTTTGACAATAATTGAATCGTTATTTCGATTATTTCGTTATCGTTAATTTGATCCAAAATTGAAAATTGTAAACTTTTCTGTTTATGTATTATACGGAAACAGTTTTAAATTTCTCGAACCGTCTGTTTTAAGAAAGGATATTATATTATATGCATTTCAGGTGACGACCCTACCGTATTTGGATATGGTCCTATCGGAAACAATGCGTTTGTATCCAATTCTACCCTATCTCGACAGAGTTGCTCTGAAGGACTATAAAATACCGGAGACAAATTTGGAAATTGAGAAAGGAACGGTAATGCTTGTACCAATGCTTGGACTACATTATGATGAACAATACTTTTCCAATCCGAATGTCTATGATCCTGAACGATTTTCCGAGGAGAATAAAAAATCCCTAACACCCTGTGTCTACATGCCATTTGGCGAAGGACCTCACATATGCATTGGTAATAATCTACATCATTAAAAATTTAAAAAAAAAATTAAAATTAAAAATTAAAAATATAAGAAAAAACAGCTTTTATTTTAAAAATAAAAGAATAAAACAAAAGATTCTTGTAGCTTCCCTACAAGAATCGAATCAAGTTGCTTCGCAACACTTTTGACACCTTTTATGTCTCAATTTATTATTATCCTTAGAAAAATTGTGCTAAAAATTGGGTATTGTTTAGTTAATTTATGTATAGCAGGGGTCGAATAAAACGACGGTTAGAATTTTACGATCGTGGTTATACTATCCGGTCGCTCATAAATATTGCTAATTATACTAAAATACCACAAAAAGTGACATATTTCCAAAATTAGAAATTTGGAAAGTAGTCTTTTGAAGTCAATAAAATTTTTTAATGTTGTTTTGGTAAAACCCAGAAACAGATCAATTCGATCTGAATTTATAAAATGAATTTGCAATATTGATATACAAATTATAAACCTACATATGAAAGAAAAGAAGAATAAAGACTCACCAATCTTGTTGATACCGTAGTGCAATTTCCATGACTTCCTTCAAGTTTTGGAACTGCTTAATTAGCTTCTTTGATATTAATTACAAGCCACTGAGTGTTCGGCCTGAAAAGAAAAAAACGAAAGATTAGAAAATAAAAAACAAAATTTACTATTAATTAGTAATTAATAGTAATTTAATTACAATTAAAATAACAGAATAAAAAGCAGATTTCAGAATGTTTTGCATTTAAATGAAGTACATACTATTCTCTGCTATTTTTTTTATAAAAAATAACCACATATTCTTAATATTTACTCTCTAAATTTAAATTAGTTAAAAATACCTAGTTTCATTGTAAAGAGTGAGTTATTAATAATTTACTAATTAAATAGTCAAAACTAACTAATTATTAATACTTTTGGGTAATGTCAAAATAATATAAATAATATTGAAATTGGTAACTAAATTAAATAAGTCAAATTTAACTATCAATGAAGTTATTTATATTTACTAATAGTTAAAAATTTCCTGCGGATAATTAGTTATGTTAAACTAACAGCTGATGCAAAAAATCATTACAATATTAATTTTATCATTCTTTTCTATTTTTCAGGTCAACGTCTTGGATTACTGCAATCAAAATTAGGAATTGTTCATATTCTTTCAAAATATGAAGTCTCAGTCAATAAGAAGACACCGATTCCAGTAAAATTAGATCCGAAGGCATTTTTAACATCGTCAATAGGTGGCATTTACCTCGACTTGAAGAAAATTTAACAACTAAAATGAACAAGAAACATAAAATATATTAAACTAATTTTTCTGGACAAAACTACTTTATAATAACTTATATAGTTAATATTAGCAATTTTGTATTTTTTAAATTCGATGTCTGAGTTGAAACATGATTTTCAATTTGACCCCAAAAAACCCAACGATTAATGATTCCGAAGCCAGGCCTCCGATCGACTTTAAGGCGCAAAAAAAGTCGTTGTAGTCGATTTAAAATAGAAAAAAAGTCGTTTTAATTCAGTGTCGTGACAAAAATTTTATTTTCTATTTTTCTGATCTCTCACTGATTTCTAAATTTAATTATTCAAAACTTGAATAACTTCGTTAAATAAATATAAATACTTCTTGTTTGGTTTTATACGAGAATAAAATTTTCAAAAATTCTACTTAAAACCTTCTGAAATTTAATAACTTGTAAAAATTACAACTTTAATTCTCTTAAAATTCAATTATTTTCTACAACTTTTAATCAAACTTCTTCTCGAAATCAATTATTTTTAATAATTTTCCCAAACTTCTTAGAGAATTCAATTATTTAAATACAAAAATTCAGTTTTTTATAATGATTCTAACTGTCCATGTTTTTTAAGTTGTTAATTAATTTTCAAAAAATTATAATAAAGAAATTCTTAAAATTAATTTTTCGAGAATTTTTTAAAAATAATTTATGAACGATAATAGTTTTTTATTCATATGCAATTTAAAAATTTCCAAACAATTGAAATTTGGTAAATTCTATTGAAAAAAATAATTGAATTTTTAAAGAATTTTCATTATTAATATAAACGTGATTTCTTCGAAACTTTAATTAATCCAAAAATATTAAATTGGTCAAAAATTTAAATTTATAATAAGTATCAAAAACTCAAAAAACCGAATTTCTTAAAATTCAACATTTTTTGTTCTATTTTATGGCAATTAGCTTCATTATTTTTGGGCTCTTTAAAAACAATTTACTTATCTAATAGTTCCAACCCTTCGGTAAAAAATCTAAAAATATCAAAAATTCAAAAACCGAATTTCTTAAAATTTAACATTTTTTTTTTGTTTTTTATTGCATTTAGCTTCAATATTTTTAGGCTCTTCAAAAACACTTTATTTATTTAATAGTCTCCACCCTTTGGTAAAAAATTTAAATTTAATAAAAATGATCAAAAATTCGGAAAACCGATTTTTTTAAAATTCAACATTTTTTCTTCTCTTTTATGGCATTTAGCTTCATTATTTTTGGGCTCTTCAAAAAAAATTTACTTAATTAATAGTCTTCACCCTTTGGTTAAAAATTTTAAATTATTAAAAATTATCAAAAACTCGAAAACCCGATTTTTTTAAAATTCAACATTTTTTCTTCTTTTTTAGGGCATTTAGCTTAATTATTTTTGGGCTCTTCAAAAGCACTTTACTTATTTCATAGTCTCCACCCTGTGGTAAAAAATTTAAATATTTTCAAAAATTTGAATAACCGAATTTTTTAAAATACAATATTTTTTATTAAAAATTTTGAACATGATTGTTATATGTAAAAATAATTGTAAAAAATTTAAATTTTGTATATATTTGAATTTTTGGAAATTTGTATTTGAAAATATTGAAAATAATTGAATTTTAAAAAATTAGAATAGAAAAATTTTAAGAATTATTTTTTTCAAAAATATTTTAGTATAATTTTTGAAAGCTAATTTTCATTAATTACCATTTTTAAATTTACACTTGCAGATTTTTCATTAAAATTTTTGAGAAATCAATTATTTTCAAAATTTGCAATTAAAATTCTTTAAAAGTTGATTTTCAAAAATTTCTTATAAAACACAAATCAATTATTTTCAATTAAATTTTACGACATTCCAATTATTGAAACTATTTTTTATTGTAAATTTTGAAAATTTATTTAGTATTTATAAAAATAGTTGAATTATTTCGAAGTTTTTAAAATTTTAGGAAATAATTGAATTTTATGAAAATATTTGAATTCTTCGGAGAAATTCAATTAAAGATGTTTTGAAAATAATTGAAGCAAACAATTTTACTATTTATAAAAAATAAAAATAATTGCATTCTTGCGAAGAATTTTACTATTTATAAAAATAATTGAATTGCTTCAAAGCATTTATTAAGAATTTAGAAAAGAATTGAATTTATTCCAAATATATTAAAAAATTTCTTTAAAAATTGAATTCTTCCGAGGAATTCAATTAAAATTGAATTTAATTTCAATTATTTTCAATATTTGCAATTAAAATTCTTCTAAAGTTGATTTTCAAAAATTGTTCTAAAACACTTTGAAAAAAATAAATTATTTTCAATTAAATTTTACAAAATTTCAATTATTGAAACTCTTTTTAATTGTAAATTTCGAAAATTTAATTAAATTCTTAATTAAATTAAAATATTGCAATATTTGTAAGAAAAGTCGAAAAAGTCGTAATTTTTTTAAATAAGTCGAATTTTTTGAAAATAATCGAAAAATTAATAATAATATTGATTTTAGGGGGAGAATTTTGTTGGTTATCTTAAATAAGAATAGAAATGCTATGAAAAACTAGTCAGATCTCATTTCCCATTGTTCCGTAATTGTAAAATTACTTGTTTCATCAAAAATAAATAAAGAATTAATAACAGAAAAATAATTAATTAATATTAAATAAATTATTCATCAATAAATCGCTTAATAGAAAACAAATGATTAATTAATAAATTAATAGTAAATAAATGACCAATTAATATTTGAATAGAAAAGAAATGATCAATTAATAAAATAATCGTAAATAAATAATAAATTAACAGCAAATAAAAAATTAATTACAAAATTAATAATAAATAAATACTTGATAATAAATAAAACAATACCAAATTAATAATTATAAAAGAACCATTAGTTACCACGTGGAAAAACTTCCTCTTCCTAAAAAAGGATTTCATGAATTTGGCCTTGAGGTTAAACTAGAAATTGCTGGGAGAAAAAGAAACAAAATATATAGCAGAGCTCCTTCCTTTTCCCGTCTTCTTCTTCCAAGTCGATTCCGCTTGACAGACTTTACACTCGCTTCAGAATGCATTGCTAAAAAAATTGAAGAGAGCGACAATAGTTCCACCTTCATTGACTCTCCAAACAGGAATGAGCCTGAGCTCCGCAAACGCGCCGTATTTACGTACCACGTCGGGCGTGAGCGAGAGAAGGGGAACCCCTCTCTGATTGGTCGACTCGGCCAGTGAGAACGACCGCCAATCAGAATCGCGCTCGCTCGAAAGCACGCGACGTAAATACCGCGACTCAACAAATTTCTCGTCACAATCGCGACAAACTGCGACGAATCTGGTATAATTCGCTGCAAAATTGTGAATTATTGCAATAAGAAACAAGTTGTCTATTTTAACACAAAATGTCCGGACGCGGTAAAGGTGGTAAAGTGAAGGGAAAATCAAAGACACGTTCGAATAGAGCTGGCCTTCAATTTCCAGTGGGTCGTATTCATCGTCTATTGAGAAAAGGAAATTACGCCGAACGTGTTGGAGCCGGTGCGCCAGTTTATTTGGCAGCTGTCATGGAATATTTAGCGGCCGAAGTTTTGGAATTGGCCGGCAATGCTGCGCGTGACAATAAAAAAACAAGAATAATCCCTCGTCATCTTCAACTCGCCATTCGAAACGACGAGGAATTGAATAAATTACTTTCCGGTGTCACAATTGCCCAGGGTGGTGTTCTACCGAACATTCAAGCAGTTCTCCTACCAAAGAAGACCGAAAAGAAGACTTAAATTATTTCCCTCTTTTTTTCTTGATACTAAATCGGCCCTTTTCAGGGCCAACAATTATTTTTCGCGTGGGAATTAATAATTGATTCTTAGCAATTTTTTTGTTTACAGAAAAGAAATTTTTTTGTTATTGATCCTTGGAAACTTCGTAAATTAAAAGTCTCTAGATTTTAGGGAATTTTGAAAACAGAAGACCGAAGGTAAATTATTAACAGTCGGTAAGTTATCTGTTATCGCAGCGGTAACTATCATTCCCTAACGGCAAAGAGAAATTTGTGTGTCCAACAGGTATTTAATATTATTAGGTACTAATTTTTCCTTTTTTAAAATTTAAAAACAATCTTCTTTCTTAACCTTAAATTTTAACAACTACCAAACTTTTCCTTTAAACAAAGATTGGCAATCACGTAAATAATTTAGAATAGAAGTGAGATAAAAAAAAGTGGAATAGTAATTAACCTACTTGCCTGGACGTAGAGAGAAAAATCAACCTACAGGGGCAGTATTGAATTCTTTTCTTTTTTTATTTTTTAATACCAAATTAGAGAATTCAATTATTTTCATAAATAATAAAACTCATTGCAAAATTTCAAATAAATTTTATTACAATTTTAATTAAATTTCTCGAAAAATGTAATTATTCTTAATTTAATTAAAATTCGTCAAATAAATTCAATTTTAAGAAACATGCAATTATTCCATTATTTTTATAAATAGTAAAATTCTTTGCAGGAATTCAATTATTTTCAAAACATCTTTAATTGAATTTCTCGGAAGAATTCAAATATTTTCATAAAATTCATGTATTTTCTAAAATTTAAATAATTTCTTCGAAACAATTCAACTATTTTTATAAATAGTAAATAAATTTTCAAAATTTACAATAAAAAAGAGTTTCAATAATTGAAATTTCGTAAAATTTAATTGAAAATAATTGATTTTTTTCAAAGTGTTTTATAAGAAATTTTTGAAAATCAACTTTTAAAGAATTTTAATTGTAAATTTTGAGAATAATTAATTTCTCAAAAATTTTAATGAAAAATCTTCAAGGGAAAATTTAAAAATGGTAAATAATGAAAATTAGCTTTTAAAAATTATATTAAAATATTTTTGAAAAAAATAATTTTTCGAATTTTTGTATTCTAATTTTTTAAAATTCAATTATTTTCAATATATACAAATACAAATTTCCAAAAATTCAAATACATACAAAAAGAAATTAAAATTTTTTACAATTATTTTTACATGTAACAATCATGTTCAAAGTTTTTAATCAAAATTCTTGAAAAAATGATTTTTTTTAAAATTATACAAAAATTCTTTGAAGAAATTCAATTCTTTTCGAACAAAGTAAATTAAAATTTGTTGAAATTTACTTTTTTTTGATTAATTAAAATTGAGAAATCACGTCTATATTATAATACTTAAAATTCTTTCAAAATTCAATTATTCTTTTGAATAGAATTTAACAAATTTCAATTATTTGGAAATGTTTAAATTGCATATGAATAAAAAACTATTATCGTTCATAAATTATTTTTGATAAATTTTCGAAAAATTAATTTTAAGAATTACTTTATTATAATTTTTTGAAAATTAATTAATAACTTAAAAAACATGGACTTAGAATCATTATAAAAAACTGAATGTTTGTATTTAAATAATTGAATTCTCTAAGAAGTTTCGGAAAATTATTAAAAATAAATTGATTTCGAGAAGAAGTTTGATTAAAAGTTGTAGAAAATAATTGAATTTTAAGAGAATAAAAGTTGTAATTTTTTGAAGTTATTAAATTTCAGAAGGTTTTTAATAGAATTTTTGAAAATTTTATTCCCGTATAAAATCAAACAAGAAGTATTTAAATATTTATTTAACGAAGTTATTCAAGTTTTGAATAATTAAATTTAGAAATCAGTGAAAGATGAGAAGAATAAAAAATACAATTTTTGTGACGACACTGAATTAAATATACGACTTTTTCAATTTTTTTTTCGCCCAAAATTTCCTTTATACAATAATATTAAATTTGTAATGATTTGTTTATTCACAATTTCTTTATAAGTTTTAATTATAATTATAACTTTTAATAACTATAGACAAATCTTAAAGAATTATTTTTTAATAATAAATTTATCTACTCTCTAAATCTGAATTAGTGCGGATTCGTTTACCAATTTGAATTATAGTAACATTTTTTACTAATTTTTAGTAGTTTTTTTTACTAATTGCTAGTAGAAAATTACTAATTCAATTAGTAGAACGTATTTTTTACTATTTCAAATTAGTAAATTTTCTACTAATAATTAGTAAAAAACTACTAAAAAATAGTAAAAACAGTTACTTATTCAATTGGTAAACGAATCCGCATTATTTTATTAGTAGAAAACTACTAATTCAGATTTAGAGTGTAAAAAATAATTATAATAATAATAATATTTCCTCTATGAGGAAGTAATAATAATAATACTATAATATAATAATATATATAATATATAATATAATAATAATATATATAATATATAATAATGATATAATAATTATAATAATTATATGCGTTGCGCTTTGATTCGGTTGCGGATGTTCATCAACCTCGTGCGGTTATCCTTTGGTTGGAGGGACAATTTACGCACAGTGACTCTGCTTTTCACCAGGGGTACGCTGGAAAAGTTCTTCCTCGCCGGTGCCAGGAGAGGTTCGTTTTTGGGACATAAAATAGGCATGTCCAGTAAACGGGGACATTCTCCCATTTCCTCGGGAGAAAGCGTAAATAGTTGCCGCCGAGGTCCCGAGGTTGGCCCAGCGTTGGCGGAGCGTCGGCTAGGTGTCGGTGATCGTCGCATAGCGAAACCTGTGCTATCCTGATCACTGTCAGAAATCGCTAGGTCCTCCTCCAAGTTTCGGTCCATGACGTGTGGCTCGGAGTAAGATAGTGCTTTGGGACTTCTGATAGGGCTAAGAAGTGGCTGTGGAGGGTCAATCCGAGGGGGTGTAGTCCATCCCAAATCCGAAAGACCGTCTCTAGGGGGAGGAACCAATTCCTCCCTGGGTTGCTTGACCGGTGTGAGGATCAATGGCGGCGAAGGAGCTTCATATGGGGCAGCTTCAAGAGTTCTATTTAATTTTTCTTCCTCTTCGTTAAATGAAGAAGATCCTCCCGTGGGTAGATAGGAATCGGGTACTGACCAGGTTGGATCTGAAAATCCCTTTTTACAGGAGTGGAATATACGGTCCAATGTAATATCTGCAGACAGAGAAGGCTGGCTCCTATCTAATAATGTCCCTTGACCGGGTTTAGGTGACCGGAGAGTTCCAGCAGTGGCCCAAGCAGCAAGCTTCGCTTGGAGTTTTTTAGATTGTCTCAGGTTCCGGGCCCTTCGTCGATCACTATTCCGTTGGTTCAGAGAACGACGTTTGGGCATCTAGAGAAAGGAATTGTGTCGTAAATCATTGTTAGTTGAAGAAAATATTAAGCAAATGACTCACAAGGTAAAGAATGTTGATTAGGGAATGTGCCCGCTTGAGGGGCTTTCTACAACAACTTTTTTTCATCATGAAAAAAAGCTGTTGTAGAAAGCCCCTGAAGACGACGAGTACGTGGAAGGTAGGGATGTTCGCGTAAGAACAACGAACTCGGGGAGGAAACCCGCGTAAGAACGCTGAGTGAAGGAGAAAAGTACGGACAGCGTAAAAACAGCGAGCGCGAGGAAAAGAATGCGGGGAAGTGGAGAGCAGTAGTGAAAGGCGTTGGTACTCACGGCGAAAAAAGAGACACAACTGATTTCCAGAGTAGATCTTTTTCTTTCTTCTTTTGCGGGGCGGGATAATCTTTAAGGTCAGCGAAGGAACTGAGACCCATGGTATGGACCGCTCGCTTCTTATAACCACAAAAGACATATTTTTGAGACATATTATGATCGACTTCGTTCGGGTGCTCGTTCGCCGATTCATATTATGTCGCATATTTATATTATGATTCATATTATAGGGTGATAAAAATAATTTAATTTGTATTAAAAAAAGGAATATTTAAAAACAAGTGCACAAGTGTAAATTACTACGAATTTGCTTGAAATACTACGCGTGTATTGCTATATCACAGGTTATTATTAAATAATCTAGATTTTAGCTTTTAATTTATTTCAAAAGGACAAAGTAATATATTTAATTATTTTATTATTATATAAAACTTTATTTATAATATGAAAACAAAATATTTTCTTTTATTTAAATAACAAAATCAAATTGAATAATTATTAGAGGTTACATGTTTAAATCGAGTTTTTTACTTATTCAACAAAAACTTTAGGTCGTTTTCCTTCGTATTTATACTGCATCCTAATCTTTGACATTTTGCTTTTGTGCAGTTTTGACAATAATAAAAACTATAAAATACCTTAATATATTTAGCTAGAAAGTTATTTTCATTGCGTTCACTACAAACAAACAACGCCTTAAAAACCTTGAAAAGACCTTGAATTTTTTTTAAAGAATCGCTGGACACCCTGATTGGTGCAAAATAATGTGATCCTGAAAGCGAGGTCCGAACAACGAGGATCGCATAAAATACAAGAAGACTATCTTCTTCAGCAAGATTACGTAGTGGGAGATCTGACATAGAAGGGAGAAGAGAATTCGGAACTTGTATATATGCTACAAGTCGAGCTCCTTTTGCGCTTGTAAGAGATCTACATGGGAATTTATGGGATTTTGGTATTGTATTAGAAGGATCCCATTAATACGTGTACAATAATACTGACTCCATATTTAACAATAACACTTATTTATTTATATTTATTTAATTTGAGATATAAATTGAGGTTAACAATACCTCCGAGAAAACCTTCTTACTCTGAGCACAGTCAGACGAATAATAACCATAATTGTACCCAGGAAAGTCACTAGCCACGTGATAATTAAAAGTCACTAGAATTAGGAGCAACGTTGAGGAACATAAGTCCCCACAAATTGACCATAGATGCGAGGTCTATTGGCCAATCCCCACACTTGACGCCTGCACGCCGCGAGGCGACCGAAGGTAAAAAAATATCAACAGTCGGTAAGTTATCGACAGTTGATACTCCGCCATCTGTTTCGAACGGTAGAAACTAGAATTTTTTCTAATCTTTGTTTTCATTCTTCTCGACACGACTTTTCATACGTATTTGAGGTTAAGATTAGAAAACTAAAAATAAACTTATTGCTCTTGTTAAAAAAAATGTTCTAATAGTCGGGAAATCGAAAAAATGGACATATTTCGCTATCGTAAATTTTTCATTTACATTCTGACATTTCTTGCGTACGCCTGGTCTGGTTATGGATCGGGACTATTGTCAAATTTACGAGACGCTGTTCTAGCCACGGAATCAATATTTGAGGATTTTTTCGAAAATGCCATAACAGTGGCACGTAAAATCAAAGACATTCACGAGGTGTTCGACGCGGCTGTTGAGGAAACGTGTGTCTTTCAATGTCCAACAGGTATTTTAACTCTTTATTTTTAAATTGAAAATAAAACTCTTTCTTAAATCTTACATTTAAATTTTTAACTATAACCTAAAATATTCCGTTTCTTTCTCTTAATAAAAACGAAAAATTACTTTCCTTTAAAAAATGAACCGCATGAAAATATAATTGAAATAAAATAATTTTTAAAAATTGTATTTTAATATTGAAGTAAAATATACTTATATATTTAAATATAAATAGTAAAATAATAATGAAAATAATAAACAAACGTGGTGTGTTTACATTAAGCCGCTTTCACAAGGTTCGAAGGGAAAAATGTTTAAAGAGCAACATGTGACTTTCCGATTGGCTGATGTATATTTCTCTTGACCAATCGGATCGCTCACATGCGGTTTTTTGGACTTTTTGCCAACTTCAGAGTGTTACGACGTAAACAAAAATTAGCAATCACCCAAAAAGACCTAAATATTTAAATTAAGTGCAATTTTTTTGAAATTTCACAGGAATTTCTTCGGTGCCGGACAAAAATCACGTTCCAAAAAGTGATGGTTGCGGATCGTTGGGAATAGAAGTGAGTTAAAAAAAGGGGCAATAGTAATTAACCTATTTGCCTGCACGTAGAGAGAAAAATCAACCTACAGGGGCAATATCGAATTCTTTTCTTATTTTTAATTTTTTAAATTTATTTAATAACCAATTTTACTTTCAAAAATACGTTACTTTCGAAATTTGCTCCGTAGAATCGAATCTTGTGATTAATTTCAATCGAAAAAGCAATTAATTTGTGTTAATTTATTTTGTTCTCTTATTTTAAATTTGAATTTAACAAAATTGTTCAAAAATGCAATAAAAGAAATAATTTTTTTCCTCCTAAAATATTGCAAAAAAAGAACAAAAATTATGGAAAAATTTAAAACATAGAAAAACAAAAATTATAAAAAATAGATAGAAAACAAGAAATTAAGAAAAAAAAATACAAAAAAAGAAAAATGTGAGAAAAAAAATTTAAAAGAAAATATAATAAATAAAGAAAAGTACAATAAATTGAAGAGAGACAAATTTAAATTTACAAAAAATTACAAAGAAAATACAAAAATAAAAAAAAATACATAAATGAAACCAGAAAATATAAAATAAAATAAAAAATACATAAAAATACAATAAATTCAAAGAAAAAAATTAAATTTTTAAATCAAAATTATTAAATTAAATTAAATAATTTTTCTAAATTTCCTTTGTCAATTAAAATAATTTTCACCAATTAAAGAATTTTCAAATTAATTTTTCTCAATTAAAGAATTTTAAAAATTAATTTTTCCAAATTAAATAATTTTTAAAAGTTAACTTTTCCAAATAAACCAATTTTGATTTTAAAAATTATAGTCTCAAATTCTTTAAAACGATTTAATTATTTTCAAAAAATATTCGAAATTCAATTATTTTCAATATCTACTATTTTCATCAAATTTCGCAAAGGAATTCAATTATTTAAGCAAAAATTGATCAAATTCATTCAAAATTCAATTATTTTCAAATAATATTAAGTAAGTATATTAATATTTTTATTTCAAATAATAAAATTTTTCTCAAGAATTCAATTATTTTTGAAAATTTTAATAAAATTCATCGCAGGATTTCAATTATTTTAAATAAAATTTTACAGAAATTAACAGAAAAATTTATTTTCAATTCCTCGAAAAAGTCTATTATTTAAAAAAAATATTTTTTAAAAATTCTTTGAAAAAAATCAATTATATCGATAAATAACAAAATTATTCGGGAAAATTCAATTATTTTGAGGCATTTTAATAAAATTCTTTGGAAAATTCAATTATTTTCATAAATAACAATATTTATCACAAGAATTCAATTATTTTTAAAAATAATAAATTTTTTTTTTGAAAATTCAATTATTTTGAAAAATATTAATAAAATCTTTTTCAAGAATTCAATTATTTTCATAAAAAAAACAAAATTTTTCACAGAAATTCAATTCTTTCTAAATATTTTAATAAAATTTTTCGCAATAATTCAATTATTTCCATAAATAATAAAATTCTTCTTAGGAATTTAATTATTTTTGAAAATTTTTATTAAAATTCTTACCAACTATTCAATTATTTTCATAAATAAAAAAATTCTTCGTAGCAATTCAATTATTTTTAAAACAATTTTAAAAGAATTGCCCAAAAAATGTAATTATTGTTAAAAATTTGATTTCAATTCCTCGAATAAATTGAATAATATTTAATAAAAATGTTCTTTTTTTAATTCTTTGGAAGAATTGAATTATTTACAAAAATATAAGAATTTTTCACAGAAATTAAATTATTTTGAAATATTTTAATAAAATTGTTTGAAAGAAATCAATTATTTTAAATACAGTTTTAATTAAATTTTCTTTTTAAATAATTCAATTATTCTTGTAGATTTTAATCAAATTCTTTCCAAGAATTCAATTATTTGCAAAAATAATTCATTTAGAATTCAATTATTTTGAGGCATTTTAATAAATTACAGAATAAAATCTTTGTCACTTTTCTTGAAGAAATTGAAGTATCTAAGAATTTTGATATATATTTACAAAGATAATTGAAATTGTGAAAATTAAAAAAAAAAATTTTTTGAAAATAATTGAATTTCTGCGAAGAATTTTCTTACTTTTGAAGTTAATTGAATTTTGCAAAGAATTTTATCAGAACTTTTGAAAATAATTAAATTCTTATGATGAATTTTATTATTTATGAAAATAAATAAAATTTTGAAAATAGAATTTCTGGGATGAATTTTTTTATTTATAAAGATAATTGAAATTTTAAACAGATTTTTTTTTAAAAATGTTTAAAAATAATTGAATTTTGCAGAAGAATTTTGATATTTATAAAAATAATTGAAATTTTGAGGAGAATTTAAAAAAAAATTTTTTTGAAAATAATTGAATTTCTACTAAAAATTTTCTTACTTTTTGAAGATAAATGAATTTTGCAAAGAATTTTATCAGAACTTTTGAAAATAATTAAATTTCCAGGATAAATTTTTTATTATTTAGGTATAAAATTTTGACGAGAAATTTAAAAAAAAAATTTTAATATAATTGAATTTCTGCGAAGAATTTTATTACTTTTGAAAATAATTGAATTTCAGAGAAGAATTTTATTATTTAGAAAAATAATTGAAATTTTGACAAGAATTATTTAAAAAAATTTTTTCTAAATAATTGAATTTCGAAAAAAAATTTTATTACTTTTGAAAATAATTGTATTTTGGAGAAGAATTTTATTAAAATTTTTGTAAATAATTGAATTTCTTAGAAGAATTTTATTTTATTTATAAAAATAATTGACATTTTAAAGAGAATTTAAAAAAAAAATGTTAAAAATACCTAATTAAAATTTTCCTATGAATTTTATTAAATTTTATTAAATATTATTCCGGATTGTTTGATATTAAAGTATATGTGTTGTCGAGAAATGTGATTTTTTTTACAATTTTGACAATTTCGTGTTTCATTTTTGTCGTTTTTCTAAAATTAATTAATTTCTTTTTTTGTAAATTTTTCAGATCAATCAAGAATATCTTCCGCTGGCGGAAATGACAAAATGCTGCGATTCACACGACATTTGCTATGACACGTGCAATTTGGACAAGGAAAAATGTGATTTAGACTTTAAACGTTGTTTATATAAATATTGCGATGGCTATGACTCAACTGGTGTATCGATTGTGAATGCATGTAAAGCGGCGGCGAAAATGCTTTACACCGGAACAACAACGCTCGGCTGTAAAAGTTACATGGATGCGCAAAAAAATGCCTGCTACTGCGGCGACAACTCTAAATGGAGTAAAAATTCGAGGAAGAAACCAAAGCGAGCCACACACTCTGGTGGCGAATTGTAAAAAAAAGACAAAAATTCTTTGTTTATTTAAACAAATTTTTTATTGTGTTTTTGTGTATTTTTCGTTTTTGTTGTTTTAGATTTTAATTAATAATTAATAATTAACATCATCGTTGACTTTTGTTGTTTAGGATAGAAAAAAATTGTAAATATTTGTAAATTAAGATTTAGCTATAAAAAAATTAAAAACTAAAATTTACACGTGGATTTTAATAATTAAGATTTAATTAATAAATTTATTTTATTCATTTATTTTTATTTTATAATTATTTATATTTAATTATTTATTTTATAATTTATTTATTAATAAATTAATTTTAATAATTTTAAGATTAAAATTTAATATTTAGTTCCTGTAAAATTTAAGAATTTAAATTTAGAAATTAGGTTTAATAACATAAAGTGAGAAAATAAATTTTACAATTCAAAATTGAGATAATTAATTTTAATATTTTATTTATAGATATCAAAATTAATTAATTAGGATTTAGATGTAAAATTTAATGATTAAGATTCTTAAAAGTATTTTTTTTACAAAGATTGAATCTCTATAAATATGAATAAATATATTTCTCCAACACTTGCTCTGAAAGGAGTACTTTTCTTGGTAGAAAAGTGTGGCGAAAGTAGAACTTTTCTCAACTGCTCTGAAGAGCGTGGCGAAAGTGAAATTTGGCGTGGCGAAAGTAAATTCAGCGTGGCGAAAGTAATTTTTAGCGTGGCGAAAGTAAATTTGGCGTGGCGAAAGTAAATCATGAATTTATTCTTTTTTCATGTTCTTTGACCGAGATTTATTTTGTATCTAACTTCTTCCCCACTCAAAACATTCGTCTTTTATTATATTAAACATAAGAACATTTTAAATTAAAATTATACGAAACTCACGAAGAAACCTTTCCTCGCAAGGCGTTGGAGAAAACGTAGTGCACAACTCGTGGTGAAAGAATGATTTTTCTCGAGTGATTGCTGCTCTCGCTACCCTCGAGCCGCAAACTTCACTCTCGAAAAATCACACTTTCGCCACTAGTTGTACAATGTACTATTAATTAAAAATATAAATGTAAAAAAATGTAAAATAAACGTAAAATATTTAAACAATGAAAAATATATTTTTGAAATTAATAAATAAAATTAACCCAATTTGATAAAAAAAGAAATTCAATTAAAAAATTTTACTGAAATTAAAAATCAAATCAGAAATTTCACTGAAAGTAAAATTGAAATTAAAAAATTTTTATTTTTTAATTTTTTTAAAAAGAAAATTTTATGAATTTATATTTAAAATTTGAATTAGAAAATTTAAAAGTAAAAATGAATAAAGAAATTAAATTGCAAATAAATAAATTAATAATTAACAAAATTATAATAAACAAAATAAACATAAATAAATAATTAATAAATACGCAAATATTAAGAATATTTTTATCCTCGAATTATATAATTATTGTGGTTATTAAAAAAAGAAAAACAAAAGAGTTTTTCAAAAACTGTCATTTTTCACTTAAAAGCAGAAATTTTTCTTCTTCCAAATTTTAATAAAATTGCCAAGTTACTTTCAAATAAATAATAAAAAAAAAATTCGACAGTATTTTTTTCAAAATGGGAATCAATTTTTCATCCTCAAGTAGTCAGAAAAAAACCGAGAGGTAAGATTCACTGAAATTATAATTTCAAATCAATTCATAAATTTTTCTTATTTTTGGTTATAAATAATAAATTGAGAATTTCGACGAATGTGAAAATTCTTTTTCTCTAAAATTCTATAATAAATTCATTTATTTATTTATTTAAATTTATTTAATAGTTTTTGTGCATTTATTTATTTATTTATTTACAATTTTTTTATTATAAAAGTTTTCTTTGTGGTAAAAAATTGACATAATTATTTTTTATTTTTTTATTTTTTTATTTTTTTTTTTATAAGCATTGGTAATAATATTTTTATTTTTTTAACTCTTGATTTTGATTATATTTTATTTTTAAATTTTTTTCGAAAACTCCGTAAAAAATTTTCGAATAAAAATTTTTTTCATGACTTTTTATTTAGTCATTGATACAAATTTGTTGATAATTAAATTTATTCTAAAATTCTATACAAAATTTTAGTCAAAAATTTTTTTATTTGTTAATTTTCATGTATTTATTTATATAAATATTTTAATTACGAAAATTTGTTCTAAAATTCTAAAAAAAAAATTATTTTTAAAAATTGTTATTTAATTTTTTATTTATTTTTCATAATTATATTTTAATTGAATAAACAAATTAATAATTACTTTATTATTATTATTTATTGAAATGGTTAATTATTAATTATTAATTAAATAATAAACTAAATAAATTTACGTTTATTTACCACATTTATTTCTTTTTCTTAAAATTAATCTGAGAAAAATGGATTTAAAAATTGAATTAAAAATATAAAGAAAAAATTAGAATAAATAAATTTTGGTAAATAAATGAAAAAATAGACTCGAAAAAAAAATAATTTTGAATAAGTGTAAATGAATAAATAAATAAATTTTAATAAATTAAAATAAATAAACTCGAATAAAAAATATTTTCAATAAGTTTTATTTTAAATTTAATTTAATTTCAAAAAAAATTTTTGAATAAGTTCAAATTTATTCATTAATTTACGCTTGTAAATAATAACCCGTTAAAGTTGTAAATAATAAATAAAGAAATAAATTTGAGTAAAAATTAATTAATTAATTAATTAATTTTTTAAATTAATTAATTAATTAATTAATTTTTTAAATTAATTAATTAATTAAAGTCAATAAATAATATTGAATAAATTTAAATAAATAAATTTTTTTTTCAATTATAAATAAAAGTGAAAATTTTTTTGGCAAATGAAAAAAATGTAACGTTAAATATTGCAGTTTTGTTTTCTGCACAGCACAGATGGACAGTTGGAGAATAATCGAAAAATGAAATCATCGCGTCCGAGTAGCCGCAGTAGGCAGGAAAAATTTTGCGGCGCAACAAATCCGTTTATTATATTTTTTTTACGCCTGCGAAGTAGAAAATCAAATATACCAGTGACGACAATCGCGCGAATCGCCGGTAAACGATGGTCGCAAATGAGTGCAATGCAACGGCAAAAATACATTGATCTCGCCAATGACGAGAAGAAAAGGCGGCAAAAAATTAAAAAGAAACGTCTCCATCAAGTCATGACCAATAATTCTAAGTAAGGAAAATCACATTCCTTTTTTTCCCAGTTAATTTTTTCAAATTAAATAATTTTTCCAAATTTATACTTTTCGACATTAAATAATTTTTCTAAATTAAAGAATTTTCCAGTTAATTTTTCTAAATTAAATAACTTTTCCAAATTAAATAACTTTTCCAAATTTATACTTTTCGACATTAAATAATTTTTGTCAAATTAAAGAATTTTCCAGTTAATTTTTCCAAATTTATACTTATCGACATTAAATAATTTTTCTAAATTAAAGAATTTTCCAGTTAATTTTTCCAAATTTACTTTTCCAATTAAAGATTTTTCCAAATTAAATAATTTTTCCCATTAAAGAATTTTCCAGTTAATTTTTCCAAATTTATACTTTTCGACATTAAATAATTTTTCCCAATTAAAGAATTTTCCAGTTAATTTTTCCAAATTAAATAATTTTTCCAAATTTATACTTTTCGACATTAAATAATTTTTCCAATTTAAAGAATTTTCCAGTTAATTTTTCAAAATTAAATAACTTTTCCAAATTAAATAATTTTTAAATTAATTTTGACAATTTAAATAATTATGCTCTTTGAAATTAACTTTTCGAAATTAAATAATTTTTCCTAATTAAAGAATTTTTCCCAATTAAAGAATTTTTCAGTTAATTTTTCCAAATTTACTTTTCCAATTAAAATAATTTTTCCCAATTAAAGAATTTTCCGGTTAATTTTTCCCATTAAAGAATTTTCCAGTTCATTTTTCCAAATTTAGTTTTTCAATAAAAAAATTTTTCCGGATTGAAGAATTTTTAAATTAATTTTGTCAATTTAAATAATTTTGCTCTTTGAAATTAATTTTTCCAAATTAACTTTTCGAAATTAAATAATTATTCTAAACTCACTTTTCCAATTAAAATATTTTTTTTCAATTAAATAATTTTCCAGTTAATTTTTCCAAATTTACTTTTCTAATTAAAATAATTTTTCCCAATTAAAGAATTTTCCAGTTAATTTTTCCAAATTTACTTTTCCAATTAAAATAATTTTTTCCAATTAAAGAATTTTCCAGTTTATTTTTCCAAATTAAATAATTTTTTTAAATTTATACTTTTTTTATTAAAATATAATTTTTCCCAATTAAAGAATTTTCCAGTTAATTTTCCCAAATTTATTTTTCCAATATTGAAAATATTTCCCAAATTAAAGAATTTTCAAATTAATTTTTCCAAGTTAAATTTTCCAAATAAAAAATTTTTTTTCCAAATATCAAAAGATCAAAAAATTGTTGTCAAATTCAAACTTGAAATCTAGAAATTTTTTTGTTCTGCATTCCGTCACTTCTAAGAATTACCAAAAACAAAATGGCGGCGGACAAATAAAACAGCTGATCCACTTGAAATCTTATAATTCGTCTAAATTCCAAATTAAACCGAATTAAACGGCGATATTTTTTTAAAACAACTTTTCCCAATGGCAAGAATATAATTTACTTAAATAATTAAAAAAACTTTCTCAAAATCAAATAATTAATTGCAAAAATAAAATAATTTTTTTTTTCTTGCAAAAGACATGTACAGTCCCAGCCAAAAATTATTATACGCCTTTTGCCAAAATTGAAACTCATTTAAAATATATTTTTTTCTATATATTTTTTTTTTTTTTTATTATTATAAAAAAATACTATTTTCTCATTTCCAAAAAGTTTTTTTTGAAAGAAATATTTTTCTCTTTTGAAAAAAATATAAACTTTTGTTTTTCGAAAAACGTATTTTTCCTTTTTTTGAAAAATAAAATACGAAAAAAAATTTGAAAAATTATTTGATTTTTCTTTTGGTGTTTAAAAAGTTTAAATAAAATAAAAGTTTAAATTGCAATTACCTGTAATCCTCTAGTTCCATTGTTTCCAAAATAATCGAAGATTGAACCTCAATCACCTTTCAGGTGAATATTAAGGGGATATTCCGCATCGTGTCTTTTTTGGTTTTCTTTCGCTTCCTGGAAAATATGTACAGTCCCAGCAAAAAATTAATTAATTTACCAGAAAAATAAAAATATTTTAAAGTTTAAATAAATAATTCCTATTATTAAACAATGCAAAATTGATGAAAAATTAAATATAAATGAATAACTTAATTATTAAAAGTTATAAATAATTTTTTGGTAAAAATTAATTCCACTTTTCTTAAATGGATTTTTCGGCCTAAGACCTTTTATTGCAAAAAATAAATAATTTTTCCAACTTTATTATTTTTATTATTACTTAATATAACTATTTGTAATTAATTTTCAATTATTACTTAGTAATGTATATTAATTAATAGTAAAATATAATAAAATATCGAAAATTAATTACTTTTTTGTAACCAAAGGCCTATTCGGCTAATTTAGGCTTTTTTATTAAAAAAAATAATTTTAAAAAACGTTCTTTTATTTTTATATTATTTTTTATTGATAATATTAACTAATTAATTACTTTTCGTAACAAAAAGCCTTTTCGGCTAATTTCGGCCTTTTTATAACAAAAATAAAATTTAAAAAAACGTTCTTTTATTTTTATATTATTTTTTTATATATAATATTAACTATTTAATTACTTTTCGTAACAAAAGGCCTTTTCAGCTAATTTAGGCCTTTTTAACATAAAAAAATAATTTTAAAAAAACTTTTACTTTTTATATTCTTATTTTTTATTCAATAATTCTTAATTATAATTAAATTAATTAACAAAAAAAATTCTCTTTTTTCCAGAAAGCCAACAACGAGAAAGAAATCAATGTATAAAAATAAATCAAGATAGAGAAAAAATCGTTTGATATTTATGATTTCCTTTTTATTTGTTAGTATTTTTTTTTTATAACTATGTACAATAAATATTGATGTATTTTTACACTGTATCTTAAAAGAAGTTACTTACAATTTAGAAATTATGCTAAAAAACAGCGACTCGTCATCGTGTCGCGTGTCCTCCGTTTATTTATTTTTTCTTTTTTCAAATATAATAAAAAATAAAAAAAAAACAACGAAAAAAAAATTATTTAAAACAAAAATATTAATTCCAACGAGAGTGTATTATAAATATAAATATGTATATATCAAAAAAATATAAATCTGCATTTTGTAAATAAAAAAAAAATTTTATAATTTCGCCGCGGCGGCGTCGGCGAAATGTATTTATTTATTAATTCATTTTAACATTAATATTATTAATATTATTTTTGTAAATTTTTTTATTAAAAAAAAAATTTTATGTTAATATAATATATGATATAAAACAATGCATAATAATGTACAATAATAAATATAATAATCAATTAATTAAATAATAATAATAGTAACAATAATAAATAATATTTATTATTAATATTAATTATTATTATTATTATTACTGTTATTAGCATAATTATAATTATTATTACTATTAATAATATTATTTTTATCATTATTATTTTTACTATTATTATTATTATTTATATAGTTTTTATTACTTTTATTTTTTTATTCTTTTTACTATTTTCATTATTTTCATTACTTTTATTATTTTCTTTATTTTCATTAATTTCATTATTTTCATTATTTTCATTATTTTCATTATCTTTATTATTTTCGTCACTTTTATCATTTTTATTATTATCTATAAAATTCTATATTAATAATATTAATATTAATAAATATTAATAATGCAAATTTAGATATAATTATTCATTTACTTATTTATTTATTTATTCATTTATTTATTTACAAAATACAAATTTATATATTCTATATGCATATATATATTTATATAAATATTATATTATATAACTTATCTCGTAGCCGTATTCCGCAAAGTGTCACTAAAGAGGAGGAGGGGGAAAAACACTTCCAAGTACTTACGTGAGAAGCACCATACAAAATTTTTTTCTTTTTCTCTCTTTCTCTCTTTCTCTCTCACTCTCTCTCTCTCTCTCTCTCTCTCTCTATCTCTCATATTTCGAAGTTTTGTTATATTAATATTATTATTATTAATTATTATTAGGCAATTTCTCTCTACTCGCCCTCTCTCTTTATTCGCAAAAACACACAAAAAAATTCATATACACTTTTTTCTTTTTAAAAAAAAAAGAAATTTTCTTTTTTTTTTCTACTAATCTTTCAGTCTCCCATTCTCTCGTGTCAATGTACAAAAAAATAATTTTCAACGCGCGAACGCGTGACAATTTGCAGAACATTTCTTGGCTCTATTCTCTATACACTTTTTGTTTTGTTTTTTCTTTCTTTCTTTGTGGAAAAAAAATTTTCCTTTCGTAACAAATATTCTTTTCTTTGTAAACAAAAATTTTCTTTTTGTAACAATTTTTTTTTTCGAAAAACAAAAAGTTTCTTTTTCTAAAGAAATTTTTTTTCGTAAAAGAAAATTTCGCTTTGTAAATAAATTTTTTTTCGTAAAAGAAAATTTCGTTTTCTAAAGACAAATTTCTTTCTGTAAAGAATTTTTTTTTTTTTTGTAAAGAAAGTTTCATTTTGTAAAGAATATTTTCCTTCTGTAAAAAAGTTTTCTTTCCCAAAAGAAAATGTTCCTTCTGTAAAAAAAAAAAATTTCTTTCAGGAAAGAATATTTCCCAAAAGAATATTTTTGTTTTGTAAAAAAAAATTTCTTTTTGCAAAGAAATCTTTGTTTTGTAGAACAAATTTTCCTACTGTACAGAATATTTTCCTTCTGCAAAAAATTTTCCTCTTTTGTAAAGAAAATTTTCCTTTTGTAATACGAAACATTTTTTTTGCAGAAAAGTTTTTTTTTGGTAAAGAAAATTTTCTTTTTGTAAAAAATATTTTCCTTTTGTGCAACAAATTTTTTTTATTTATTCATTTATTTATTCATTTACGGACATTTTTCATAAAGAAAAATTTTTTTTGGAGAACAAATTTTCTTTTTATAAGGAAAATTTTCATTTTTTATAAACAAAATTCTTTTTGTAGAGGAAAATTTCTTTTTGTAAGGAAAATTTTCCTTTTGTACACAAAATATTTTTTTTTAAACAAAATTCTTTTAATGGAGAAAATTTTCTACAAATAATTTTTTTTTTAAGAAAAATTCTTTTTATAAAAAAAATTTTCCTTTTGTACAACAAATTTTTTTTTTTTGAAAAAATTCTTTAATAGAGAAAAATTTCATTTTGTAAACAAAATTTTCCTTGTGTACAATTTTCTTTTTGGTAAAACTTCTTTTAATAGACAAACATTTCTGTTTGTAAGGAAAATTTTTCTTTTATACAAACAATTTTCTAAAGAAAGAAAAATTATTTTTTTTAAAGAAAATGTTCGTTTTGTAAAGAAAATTTTTCTTTTGTAAACAAAAAATCTTTTAATAGAGAAAATTTTCCTTCTGTACAACAAATTTTCTTTTTGGAAAAAACTCTGTTTGTAAAGAAAATTTTCCTTTTGTACAATAAATTTTCTTTTTGAAAAAAAATTCTTTTTATAGAGAAAATTTTCCTTTTGTAGTAAAAATTTTCTTGTTGGAAAAAAATTCTTTTCCTAGAGAAAATTTTCTTTTTGTAAGAAAAATTTTCTTTTTTGTGAAAAATTATTTTGCTAGAGAAAATTTTCTTTTTGTAGGAAAATTTTTCCTTTCGTAAAAAAAAAATTTTCTTTTTATAAAAAAAATTTTTTTCATAGAGAAAATTTTCCTTTCGTAAAAAAAATTCTCTTATCGTAAAAAACTGTTTCTCTTTTCGCAAAAAAAATTCCTTTTCTAAAGAAAATTCTCGTTTCGCAAAGAAAATTCCCTCTTCGTAAAAAACAGTTTTTCTCTTCATAAAAAAAATCCATTTTATAACTAAATCCGAGGGAATATTCTTTTTCCAAAAACTTAATCCAGGGAAATATTTTTTTTCCATAACTCAATACGAGGGAAAAAATAATTATAATTGTAATATTATCGATGTGCCCTTGAAAAAATTCTTTTTTTTTTTTTGCTCTTAAATATTCGCGTTGCTAAGAAGAAAAAAAAATTTATTATAAGCGACAGAAATAGTAAGTTGAGTGTGTATTTGTTTTTTTTTTGTGGTACAGAGGGTAAAATATAAAGTGTCCCAGTTTTTTTCTGCTACTGCCGCGAACGATAATCTTTTAAATACAATTGTTATCGTTGCAGTAACAATAGTTTTCTTTTCTTTTCATTTTCTTTTTTTTTTTGTATATTACAGTAAAGTACAGAGTGCCCCGAAAACGTAAACAACAACGTTCAACAATCGATGATAATGATAATAATAATTAAAAAAAAAAAACGAAAAAAAAAATTTTTCTTGAACTCTCGCGACGTAAAGAAAATATTTTATACACTACGCCCGGTTTCGCTTTTTTTAAATATTGTATAATATAAGCAATTTTTTTTTTCTTAAAATTTATTTATAATTTTTATAATATAAATATTATCATATGCACAAAACGTAACACTGTCGGGGGGGGGGGGGTAAGAGAGGGGAGGGGGAAAGTTCAGAATGCCCTTAAGAATGAAAGAAATAGGAAATTTCCTATTCGTGAGGTTTTTTTTTGTACATTTTTTTCTTATTACACAAAAAAACTAAATTCACGATTTTTTCCTTTCTGTGTATTTTCATTTGATTTTTTTTGTTTTTGCTTTTGTTTGTTTTTTTTGTCTTTCATTTATTTTTCATTTGGTTTTTCGTGTATTTTTTATTTATTTTTAATTTCTTTTTTAATTTCTTTTCATTTCTTTTTCAATTGTTTTTAATTTATTATTAATTTCTTTTTAATTTCTATTTAAATTGTTTTTAACTTCTTATTAAGTTGTTTTTAACTTCTTATTAAATTGTTTTTAACTTCTTATTAAAATGTTTTTAATTTCTTATTAATTTGTTTTTCGCTTCTTTTTAATTTATTTTCCGATTGTTTTTAATTTTATTTTTTTTTCTCGTCTTTATGTTTGTTTTTCGTTTCTTTTTTTGCTTCTTTTTTCATTTATTTTTTCGTTTGTTCTTTATTCGTCAAAAAAAAACTTTTCTTTTTCTAAAATTTTTCAAATTCAGGAAAAAATTATTTTTAATTGTATTTTTTCTATTTCGAAAATTTACACTCGAAAATTATTTTGTCAAAATTTTTAAATATTTCATGTGTTTAATATTGATTGGAATAAAATTTATTAAAATAATTTATAATTTTAATAACTGTCCGGAGAAATTTTCAGTAATTTTATTCGAAAAAAAACAATTAGTGAAAATTCTGATTTTGAAAAAAGGAAAAATTTTCCAAAATTTTAATTTTTCATATTTTGTAAAAACAACGATTCATGATAAAAAAAATCTACTTTTAAGAATTTACCTTTCGTCGATAGTAAAACAATTTTTTTTACTAATTAAAAATCAAATATTTTTTTCATATATTTTGTGAAATTCTTACGATTTTCTTTGATTTTTCTTATTTTTCATTTATTTTATTTTACAGTTGAAATTTGATTCTAAATGAATAAAATTTTTCGAAATGAAAACAAAAATTATTTTTAGGTTATGTTGCGACAGCTAAAACCGAAATATTTTTTTTTTGGGTTTCTTTGAAAACTACAACGAAATTTAAAACGAATTTCAATTATTTTTGTTTAATAATTATTTTTAATTATTTTTATTGAATAATTATTTAATTATTTTTAAATTATTCCTAATATTTTAGAGGTTATGTTCGCTAAAAAATGCATTTTTATTTTCTTTTTTTACTTTTCATTCTTTACAGACGATAAACATAACCTCAAAATAATTTTTTTTCTCCAATTTCCAAAAATTTATAGAATTAGCATCTAAACAAAGAAAATTGTAAGAAAAATCACCCCACCCCCCACCTCTCCATTGTCAATTATAATTATTTTAATTAAAATCAACAATAATTTGACAAATAACATTTTTTTTTTGCATGTCGTCAATAATAAAAATTCAAAGATTGACAATATTAAAAAGAAAGAAAAAATCTTGTCATCTTTTAACATTTTTTTAAGCATCAATAATAATTATAATTACATTTTTTTGTACACAAAAAACATTTTTAAATCGACAACTTTAAAAAAAAAAAATTACAAATTTTTTCTTGTCTGATAAAAATGATTTTTCTTTTTTTTATAATTTTATAAACACACACGTAAACAGTAAAATTAAAAAAAAAAACGCCGAAACGAATAAAGAAAAAATTCGTATATGAGAGAGAAAAGGAAAGTAATCTACGTCTGTCCTTTTCTATCTCACAATTTGCATTCATGCTCAAAAGGCGATTTTTTTATAACCCTCTCGACATTAAAAAACGAAAAAAAAAAATTAAAATAAAATTAAAATAAAAAACACTCCACGAAATTGAGAAAACGAAGAAGAGGAGGGAGGGTTGGTGGGTGGAGGGGGAATGATGAAATACTGTGGGCAAAAACGTCTAAAAATCTACATTTGTCAATTGTCAAAGTATCACCGAAAAACAAAAAAAAAAACACTATTTATAAATCGAGAAATCAATCTCTCATCTTATTGGTTATGTGTACTGATTCATCTATCACAAGTGCCGACTACGCGGAGTCGTTTTTTTAATTAAAAAAAAAAACCAAAAAAAAAGAATAAAATCCCTTCGGGAGAGAAAGTGTGTGTATGTGTGAGAGAGAGAAAGAGAGCGAAATTCAATTTGTCATCGAATAACATAACCTCAAATTTTAGAATAAATTTCATTTCTTGTTAATTTTTGCGTTCACAAAAACACTTGTTTTGTAAATGGACCTTAAGACCAACGAATTTTGTGTTTTAAAAGTATTTTTCACTGGATTATTGTGAATGCACCTTAAGACCAACGAAATTTGTGTTTAAAAATAGCTTTTGATGGATTATTGTAAATGCACCTTAAAGATCAACGGCCTTTTGATTTAGAAAAAGACAGTCGCATATTTCTGTCCTTTTCTTTCTCAGGCGTCGATCTTTGGGTCTTTCTGCAATAAAAAAAGGGTCTTTCTACAATAAAAAATGGGTCTTCTACAATAAAATAATGTCTTTCTACAAAGAAATTAGCTAACGGTTAGTAAATGTGATTTCAGGTCCGTCTACAATGCAAAAGTTAATAGGCGACTTTATTGTAAATGCTACGCAAATAATAGTTTTTAATATTAACTGTTAATAATTATAACGTTTAACAATTATAACCATTAATAATTATAATAGTTAAAAATTATAAAAGTTAATAACAATAAAAATTAACAAATTTAATAGTTAACGATTATAAAAGTTAATAATTACATAAGTTAACAAAGTCAATAGTTAACAATTATAATAGTTAACAATTATAAAAGTTTATAATTATAAAAATTAACAAAGTCAATAGTTAACAATTATAATAGTTAACAATTTTAATAATTATTACAATATAATTGTTAATTCTAGTAATTATTATATTTTTTAATAATTGTTTTATAATATTTAATTATAATAATTAAAATAACTAACAATTATATTATAATAAGTATAAAAACTAACAGTTATATTAAAATAATTATTATAATTAACAATTACTTCAATTATATTGATTATTTTTAACATTTATAAAAATTATAGTAATAATTGAATGTCAATTCGTTGTATTTTCGTAGCGTTGGCCCATTTACTTGGTATTGTAGAGGGTCCTTTATGAACACAAACTGTTACACAATGAATGTAGAATCACCATTAATGGTGAACTCCGACACTCTGTCTAATTTCCACCTTTTTTTTAACTACCCAACCATGGCAATTAGTAAAAAAACCCTTTTGTTGTTGTACTTCAACGACCCAACCTTGCTAGACGAAATTTTTAACTACCCAACCCTAGAAGTCGAAATTAATCCCAAACAGTATGAAAAGTCTAATGGTAAAAAGCTTTTACATGAGAGAGAAAAGGACGAAAGATATTCCTATCCTTTTCCCTCTCGTGTAAAAATTCACCATTAAGGCCCTTCTTCAATAGGATCCGAAGAGCCTGCGTTCAGACTGCGTTAATTTTAGCAATGCCATAAAAACAAACGAAACGCAAGCTCTTAGGATTCTATTGAAGAAAGGACGAAAGATGTTTTTATCTTTTCCTCTCTCGTGTGAAAATTTACTATTAAGGCCGTTCTTCAATGGAATGTTAAGAGTATACGTTCGACTGCGTTGATCTTGGAATTAGTCACCATGACAACCAAAGGAACACAAATTCTCAGAATTCTATTGAAGAAAGAACGAAGGATATTTCTATCCTTTTCTCTCTCGTGTAAAAATTTTCTATTAAGGCCCTTCTTTAATAGGATGTTAAGAAAAAGCGTTGGCGACTGCGTTGATTTTGTTAAAACCATCGGAACCTAAATTCTTAGGATTCCATTGAAGAAAGAACGAGAAATATTTCTATCCTTTACTTTCTTGTCTAAAAATTTACCATTAAGGCTCTTCTTCAATAGTAATGCCAACAAAAAGCGTTGCGACTGCGTTGATTTTGTCATTAGTTACCATAACTACGAACCGAACGCAAATTTCTAGGATTCTATTGAAAAAAGACCTTTAGAGTTTCAATTATTCTTCGGCCTACTTAGGGCTCGTCTGCAATAGAATCCCAAGAGCGTGTTTCCCAAATTGAAACCAATGGCAACCAATGCAACGCATTTGCGAAACACGCTCTTGGGATTCTATTGTAAAGTAACCTTAACGGAAAAAGTTTACGCAGCACGGTTGGGTAGTTGCTTGAAAAAAAGGTCCATTTAACCAATGTCGCAGTATCACTTCGGGGGTTTACCGATAACTTTTTTCCTCTTCTTTCACGTAGTGCACGTAGTTTACGTCTTTACGTTAAGAAACGTTCGCTCACGAAACGTAAAGACCTAACCTACGTAAGGGTGAGTTCACAATAGCACTTTTGAATAGAACGTAACGTAACGAAACAATAAGTATATTGTTTCGTTACGTTTACGTTTCGTTCAAGAAACTCAACCTAATGCTGATTCTACACGTACTGAGTGGCCCCGACTTTCCGGAACGAATTCCATGAGATAGACAAAGACAGCGATAGTCTCTGTCTTTGTCTATCTTATGCAATTCGTTCCGAAAAGTTGGGGCAAGTCAGTGTAAGTGTAGAATCAACCTTAGATTGAGTCTACAATAAAGACTTTTGAAGATAAAAGACGTTACGCGTTGAAAAGTATTCAAATTTCAAGGTTATGTTAAGTCAACTCTACAATAGCATTCTCCGTTATCATGACATTGCGAATTCGGTAAATCTAACCCGTTTCGAATGCAATTCGAACAAAAGTAGCTGGTCTTTTTCTTCAAAAAAAAAGGATAAAAATAAACTTACTTGTCGTTTCTTTGTGTGAATTTGATAAGAAAAAAAGAATTGATTATCGCGGTCTCATGGTACTGTTCAGCGGTTGCATGAGACTCCCATTGATGTAACTGTGATAGGTCGTGTAGACAGCGGCGGGATTTTGTTGATGTGGATCTTGTGAGTAGGGCGCGGGCACATTCACCACACCCACTGGCAATTGACTCGCTTGATTCATAAAACCGCCCAATTGCGCCGCCTGATTCATATAGCCAGTGGTGGGTTGCGCTACACGATAACCATATTGTGCGGCGGCCATTAAATTTGTATTGAGAGCAACATTCGGACTGACGCGACTCGCGGCACTCTGCATTTGGGGACAACTACTACTTGGATCGAGTGTCTGTCTGTAGAGACTCTCGCTCGTGTAGGGCTGCGTTAGGGAGGTCATGTTACTGTTTGTCGATGATCGACTCGTTGAACGACTACTGGTGGGCACGGGCGCGCCCGGCGAGACGGTATTCACGTTGTAGTAATTTTTCGCGTAGCTCAATGGCACCTGCGGTGGTGTCGATAGTTGCCGTGATGTCTGCGGCGGTGTCATTGTGTGTGCCAGTGATGGCGGCGGTGAGAGATTCATACCGGGCGGCGCTGTCGGTGGAATCATGTCTAGGCCGTTGGTGAGTTGCTGGAGCTTCGCTAGACTGCAGGAGTTGGTTGTCTGGTGACTGCCGGAACCAGTTAATGATGGCGACGGTGTGTGCGAGTGGGGCATTGAACTGGTTTGGATGTAGAAGTTTGTCGCTGTTGTGCAGGGCGTTGGCACTGCGGTTCTGCCGCCGCGATGCTGGATCACGTAGGTGTTTTGGGCGGGGAACGGTTGGGAGGCGACTGTCATGTAATTGCCTTGGGATATTACGGCCATGTTGTGAGAGTGGGCCGCGTGACTGTGGGTGTGAGGATGGGGGACGGAGGGGACTGTCATTGAGGAGGATTGTTGGTATTGAGGGGGAAGGTGACTGTTGTGGGTTGAGGAGGAGTGGGACGACGTGTGCTGCGAGCTCTGCGTGTGCGGCGTTGGTGGCGTTGCACGATGCGATCTGCTTTGTTGGTTTGATCTCGATCTACAATTGAGAACAAGTCTTAATATTAAAGCACTGAAGACGTCTATACAGTAAGAATACTGTCAGTTCAGTCAGTCCACGGGTGCGAAGAGGACACTCTTATGCGGCGTTCAATGTACGCTCACTCGCACTCACGCTTAGGGGTGATTCATAGTCAGATACTCTTACTGTATACAGGAGGACAAAGTTCGCTTAGGTCTAACTCTTGGTTTTCGTCATTTAACAGTTACAAAGAGTTAGGCCTAAGCCTAACTTGTCGACAACCAATACTTGAGCCTAACTTGTCGACAAGGCTTAGGCCCAACTCTTGGTAATTGAACCCCTTGATGCAAGAAACAGACAGACCATTGAAATTAAATGGGCTACGTCTGGTTCTTGCATCAAGGGGTTCAATTGTTAATGTTGACAACTAATGCGACAGAGTTACTAAGTTACGATAGGATCTTTCAATAGTGCAGTTCTGAACAGTGCAGTCATTAGTGAGTTGACTAGACCAGGGGTTTCGGGAGACAAAGGGAATCGTTAGCTAAGTAGCTACTGGTAGCCTTTCGATTTAGAATACAAACAAAAACTCACCTATGGGTAGTCTGCGATCCACTCGCACGTTTACTGCTATGCGAATTCGACTGCGGTTGTTGACTCTGCTGCTGATGCTGGCTCTGCTGTTGCTGCTGACTCTGCTGCTGTTGTTGCTGCTGTTGCGTCTGCGCATGACTCGCAATCGTCTGATTCTGCTGCAACGACAACTGCATCGGCTGCGGCGTATGCGCCTGCGTCATCTGCGGCTGCGGACTATGCGTCGGAATATTCTGCGCATGCTGCATCGGCTGCGGCGTGTGACTCTGTATCGGCTGCGGCGTATGACTCTGAATCGGTTGCGGCGTGTGACTCTGAATCGGTTGCGGCGTGTGACTCTGAATCGGTTGCGGCGTGTGACTCTGAATCGGCTGCGGCGTATGACTCTGAATCGGCTGCGGCGTGTGGCTCTGTATCGGCTGCGGACTCTGCGTCGGAATACTCTGCGGAGTGTGCGACTGCGGCGTCCTCGGCTGTTGGAGCGGCTGCGGCGTATGCGGTTGTTGCAGCGGTTGATGCATCTGATGAATCACGTGCGTCTGTTGACTCTGCTGCTGGCTCTGTTGATGTTGGGTCTGCTGTTGTTGACTCTGTGGTTGATTCTGTTGACTCTGTTGTTGACTTTGTTGTTGACTCTGCTGTTGCTGCTGTTGTTGTTGCTGTATACAATCGACATACTGGGACGGTAGGTTCATCTGCATCGGGACAGTGACCTGCATAGAAGGTAGCGCACTCGGAGGACGTTCGACACTATTCTGCGAAGCTAGATCACTAGCTATCGACGTCGGCGACTCGAGTCCTAGTTGACTAACATCCAGGTCGCACTGTCCGTAATGTAACGAATGCACAGAGTTTGTCGTCGAATCCGGGGTGTAGACCCCCATCGAAGGGAGTTCGGTATGCGAGGGCGGGGTCCTCTTCACAGAGCCGGGATTCTCCGACTGGGGTGTCGTCTTCCCACTCTCCGTCTGGTCCTTCTCCTCGATCTGAGAGTTCAGGTTCTGCGATCTATCTTCGATCATCTTCTCCGGTTGGATCTCAGTCTCCAAGGGAATTCGACTGATGGTTTCCTTCACTACCTCTTCCTCCTTTCTCTCGATCATCCTCTCGTCTTCTCTTGGTTTCACTTCTTCCGGTAGAGCCTCCTCCCTGTAATCCTCCTCCATTGGTTCGGCTTTCTCAAACTCAGGTTCAATCTGCATAGGTTCTTCGCCACGCTCCTGCTGCTCTTCTTCCTCTTTTCTAGCAGAACCCTCGTCCTTCGGTTTTGGCATTTCGTCCTCCTCTTCCTCGCCTTCGTCCTCGTCGCCTCCTTCATATTCTCCGGGACTGGCGCTGATTTCCTGCTCGACCGGTAAGGGGACACTCTCGACAGGTTCGGAAGTCGCTTCCTCGAGGGGTTTTGTCGCCACTGGTTCCGGTGCTTTCGGCGGTGACTCGATTGGCGTCGTTGGGACTTCCGGCTCCTTTGGTTGTTCGGGAACTTTATTTCGTCCTCGCCTCGGAGTCGCGGTTTCCTTCGGCTTCTCCTCTTTGCCATTGCAGAAAACTTCGTCCTTCTTCTCCTTGGCGAGCTTCGCTTGCAGGTACTTCGTTTGCCGACTGGTCACTTTCCGAAGAATGTCGTCGAGTTTGCTCTGTTTCTTCACCGATCTAGGAGGGGGGACACTTAGAGGAGAAGATTTCGGTGTGTCCTTCTCTTTGGTCTTTAGGTCCTTCTTCTTGCTCTGCTCCTCCTTCTCCTCTCTGTCTTTTCTCTTCCCTTTCTCTGCTCTCTCGACTCTAAGCTCTCTTTCTTCCTTTTCTTCCCTTACTGCTCTTTCTTCTCTTACAGCTCTTTCTTCTTTTTCTGCTCTTCCTACTCTTCCTACTCTTAGTTCTCTTTCTTCTTTTTCTACTCTTTCTTCACTATCGACTCTTTCTTCACTGTCGTCTCTTTCTTCACTACCGTCTCTTTCTTCACTATCGCTTCTTGACTCTCGATCTTCTCTTTCTTCTCTGGCCTCTCTTTCTTCTCTGGCTTCTCTTTCTTCTCTAGCTTCTCTCTCTTCTCTGGCTTCTCTTTCTTCTCGAGCTTCCCTTTCTTCTCGTTCCCGCTGCCTTTCTTCTTCTAGTCTCAATTTTTCCTTTAGTTTCTCCTCCCGTTCCTTGGCCCGTTCCTCCTTCTCCTTCAGACTCTTAGCCTTTAGTTTCTCCTTTTCTTTCAACTTCTCCTTCCGCTCTCTCTCCTTCTCCTTGATTTTCTCCTCCTTCGCTCTCTTCTCCTCCCGTTCTTTCTCTTCACGTTTTTCTTTCTCTTTTTCCTTCTCTCTTTCCTTTTCTTTTTCCTTCTCTTTCTCCTTTTCTTTCACAGACTCTCGGGTTCGCTTCCTGCTGATCAGCTCCTCCTCCTCCGGATCGATCTTCTCGGAATGTTTTCGTTTTCTAAGCGGAGTGACGGAACTGGTAGGCGTCGCGGTAATATTCTCCGCCTTCGCCCTCCGCATTCTTCGACCCGAAGCTGAGAAAAGAGGCGGAGAAGTAGGAGTTATCGGAGTGATTGGAGTACTAGGAGTAGGAGTGTTTGGAGTACCCGAAGTACTCAACTTTGGAGTCGTGTTCTTCGCCAAACCTCTAGAACCTCTAGTCGTGCTCTTCGGCGCCTCGAGAGGAACTTCTTCTACTTTCGCCACTTCCTTCTTCGCTTCAATCTCCTTCGGCGTCTCTCGCTCCTTCGGCGTCGACGTTGGCGTCTCCTTCTCCCTCTCCTTCGATTTCGGAGTATTCTTCTGCGGTGTTTTCGCCTTCAAAGACCTCCTCTGCAGATTCTTCCTCCCTCTCGGCTTCTTCCTGATCTTCACCCTCTGAATCTTCTCCACAATCGTCGGCGTCGGTTTCATCTCCAAAAGCGGCGACGCCTCCGAACCCGTGTCTCCCTCCTCCAAACTATTATACGGATTTGGAATCTGCGTCAACAGCGGAATCCACCTCAAACACTCCGGCTCCAACTTAATCCTCAAAGTCTTCCTCACTTTCGCCATGTGAACATCAACCTTCTTCCAGTCGATGACAATTTTCACCGATCGATTCTCCACGCCACCATTCTCACAAACAGATTTTAGAAAACCGAGTAATTGCAGAGCCGTGGCAATGTCGTGACCGGAAACGCCCGTTTCACTTGTAATGTCATTTAATTTAATGTCCTTGCATTCGCGATGCGCGTCTAAATACTCGAGAACGACACTCTTCCAGAATGAATGATAGGAAACGCGGCCGAGGTCGGAGAGTGGTTTCTCGGGTGTGCCGGGAATACCCTCGACTTTCGACAACAAATAACTGAATTCAATGAGAAACCTACCGAAACCCTGACGTTGATATTGGGGTAGTGTCATTATGCAGGAAACATTGTACCTCTGAGCGGGACAGTGTTTTTCTTTACTAAAATAGCCGACCAAATGACAGCCGTGTTTATCATTCTTTGTCACTGCGTAAAATAAAAATGGCTCCACGTCGTAGTAGAGGGTCTTGTGGTCCAAAAATAGTTTCGCCAGGAGACAGAGATTTTGGCAATAAATCTTATTCACATTTCCATCGATCTGCAAAAGAAAAAAAGGACAAAAATGTATTTTTATTGTTGATACTAACCGACAATTTACCGATATTTTTACTATCGATTTTCTTAACGGGACTTTTTTTCTACTAATTTAATTTCAAGTAAACAAAAGCAAAATTCAAGAAAAGTAGAAGCAAAATTGAAAAGAGAAACTGAAATTTACTTCGAATACTGTTAATTTTTGTACCTATCGAGATTTTGTATACTAATTTCTTTATTTCAAGTAAACAAAAGCAAAATTCAAGGAAAGTAGAAGCAAAATTGAAAAGAAAAACTGGTTTATTTCGAATACTGTTAATTCTTTTACTTATGGAGATTTTTTTTCTAATTTCTTAATTTCAACTAAATAAAAGCAAAATTTATGAAAAGTAAAAGAAATCAGGGTAGCGACAAAAATTTTATTTTTTTCTGATATCCAGACAAACTTTCGACTTTTTCCCCGACTTTAAAAAATATTCTGCGATTAACTTCACTTTTAAATAAATATTTAATCACTAGTTTTCCATAGGAATTAGGATTTTAAAAAATTCCAAATTCAAATCTTTTGAAATTCGATATATTAAAATAATATTTTCGCTGTAATTTCTTAAAAATTGTTTCCATTATTTCAATTCAATTATTATTTTCTAGAATGTTTAAATAAAATTCTTCTTTCAATCAATAATAATTATTGTTAATAATTTTTGCAAAAGTACTTTTTGAGAATTTTTAAATCTATTTGTTTACAATTCAATTTTACGTAACATTTCGATTATTAGGAAATTTTTCAATTAAATATACGTTAGATAATAAAAACTTTAAATAACTTCAAAAACAACTTGAATTAAACAATTTCAAAAAAATTAGTTCTACAAAAATGTTAATTAAACAAAAGAAAAATTCCGAATCCGAAACCTTTTCAAAATTCAATTATTTCTAAAAATTCAAGAAAATTCATTTTTTAATCAATTTCTATTAAAAAGTTCTACAAGAATTCAATTATTTAAATAAAAATATAAATAATTCATTCAATAGTTGAATATTCTTCAAAAATGAATTCTTATGCATAATTTTATTCACAACTATTTTTAAAATTGAATTTATGACACAAATTTTTGCAAATAATTGAATCTTGCAAAGAATTTTATTAAAATTTATGAAAAAAATTGAATTTTAAATAATAATTTTGTTATTTATAAAAATAATTAATATCTTGACGATGGTTATAAAAAAATTTTTGAAAATAATTTAATTTCTGCGAAGAATTTCATTAAAATTTTTTAAAAAATTGAATTTTGTCGAAAATTTTGTTATTATTAGAAAATACAAACTAAAAATAATGTTTAAAAACATCAATTAAACTTTTTCAAAAAAATTAATTACAAAATTCAATTATTTTTTAAAACTCACGCTCAATTGCATTTAATATTCAATTATTATCTAAAATTTTAACTGAAATTCATTTTTATGAAATGAAAATCAATTTTTATTATAGAAAATTCTACTAGAATTCAATTATTCAAATACAAATTTAAATACAAAAATGCAAATAAATAATTTATTGAAGAATTGAACGTTTCTTAAAATTCAATTCTCATAAAAAATCGTTATCAACAAATTTAAAATAATTGAATTCTATCAACGAATTTTAATGAAATTTTTAAGAATACATAATTACATTTTTCGACAAAATTCGATTAAAATTGTATTAAAAATAAATAAAATAATTGAAATTCTGCATTGAATTTTATTATTTATGAAAATAATTGAATTCTTGCGAAGAATTTTATTAAAATTTTCAAAAATAATTAAATACTTGTAAAAAATTAACCGGAATTCAATTATTTAAAAAAATTTTAATAAAATTCTTGTCATAAATTAAAAATAACAAAATTCTTAGCAGATATTCAATTACTACCAGAAATTTTAATAAAATTTTTCTCAAGAATATAAATATTTTCGTAAAATAATAAAAATCTTTGCAGAGATTCAATTATTTGCAAAAGTCTTAATAAAATTCTTCGCAAGAATTCAATTATTTTCAAAAATATCAGAATTTCAGCAGAAATTCAAACATTTTAAAAAGTTTTGATAAAACTTTTTTTTGGTAGAAATTCAATTATTTTTAAGGCAATTTTTAAAAAAATGTCTCGATAAAATTCAATTATTTTTAAAATTTTAATGAAATTCTTCGAAAGAATTCAATTATTATAATCTAAGATTTTAACTGAAATCTATTTTTAAATCAATGTTTATGAGAAAATTCTACCAGAATTCAATTATTTAAATACAAATGAAATGCAAATAAATAATTTATTGAATAATTGAATGTTTCTTGGAATTCAATTCCCATTAAAAATTTTATCAACAAATTTTTTAATAATTAAATTCTTTGGACGAATTTTAATAAAATTTTCAAGAATTTTTTCGAGGAATTCGATTAAAATTCTATTGAAAATAATTGAATTCCTAAAAAGAATTTTATTATTTACGAAAATAATTGAATCCCCGTAAAAATTTTATTATTTATGAAAATAGTTGAATCATTGCGAAGAAATTTATAGAAAAAAATTTGTTATTAATGAAATTCTTGTGAAATTTTTATTACTTTTTGAAAATAATTAAAAGTTTTTATAAAATTTTATTAAATTTTTTTTGTTTAAATAATTAAATTCTTTTGGTAAATTTTATGAAAATATTCGATATTGAACAATATTTAATTTTTGCGAAGAATATTATTTACTTTTGAAAATAATTGAAATTTTGCAATGGATTTTATTAAAACTTTTGAAAATAATTGAATTTTATTACTTTAGAAAATAATTGAATTCGTGTGATAAATATTGTTAATTATGAAAATAATTGAAATTTTGTAATGAATTTTAATAAAATTTGTGAAAATAATTGAATTTTGGCGAAGAATTTTGCTATTTATTTATAAAGATAATTGAAATGTTGACAATGTTTTTTTTAGATTTTTTGAAAATAATTGAATTTCTGAGAAGAATTTTAATATTTCTAAAGATAATAATTGAAATTTTGACGAGAATTTAAAAAAAATTTTGAACACAATTTAATTTTTGCGAAGAATTTTATTACTTTTAAAAATATTTAAATTTCTGCAATCATTGTATTTTCTCTAAAATTCTCAAAATTAAATCGTACAATTTACGAACTTTTCATCCTTTTTGAATGGAATTACGGACTTTACGGACCTTTTTTCAAAAAACGGACTTTTGCGGAACTCAAGCAAAGTTATTTTTAAAATTGCTAATTTTATTTAAAAAAGGTAGTAAGAAGTTAGCCGCTCGAATTGTTGCTAAAAAAATGAAAATTAAAAGGGAAAAATGGAAACCAACCTCGAATACTGATAAACCATTGCAACGGTAAATTTCCGTGGCGGGCGGATGCCTCCATTGGCACTTGTCCGTGTGCCTATCGAGGACGGCTCGACTCTTCGTGTACTTGAGGCAGAATTCACAGAAGAAGAGCTTTGGTAGTCGCGCGTACTCCTGGGGAAATGGACTCGAATACCACGTTTCCACTTCGTAGCGTCCGAAGACGATTGCTGCCGGATTGCGGCTGCCGAGGCCGGGCCCAGTGCCGCCGGGACTCACCGAATTTGTCGTCACTTCCACATCCTCCGGGACGGTCGTCAATTGATTGGCACGGTCGCGTGCCTCCTTGAACAAATCTACATCCTTCTGCGTGACGCCCGACGGTAATGTTTGCGGCAATACTAATTCATCTACAAAAATTCCAACATTTAGTCAAATTCAAGACGAAAACTCTCAAATTATTGCTTTTCTTAAACAAAAAAATAATTTCTTTTGCTTTTCTTCACCAAAAAATAAAAGAATTGCTTTCTTTTTTTAACATAAAATTTCTCACACTTGATAAATATTTCAAAAAATTATTTTCCCTTTTACTGCAACAATTATTATTGATTTCCATTGATTCTATTTTCTTTTTATTTCACCTTTTGCATTATTGAGAAACAAAATTATTTTCAAATGGTTTTTTATCTGTATTTTGTGGATCGTGTTTCTAGATAGAAAAACAGGAATAGAGTCAAATTAAAAGAATTCGTTCAAATCGATAGTTTACTACAATTTTTTTTTTTTGAACTCACAAAGAGAAAGAATTTCTTTTCATTTAAAAAAAATTCTTTTCTTCTAACTCAAAAAATTAATTAATTCAAAAAAATAAGTCAGTAAAATTAATTTAACTGATAAATTCTATACTTATTCGTAAAATAAATTTCTTTTTTGAGCTTTTTATTATTTATATTACAAAGAGCAAGAATTTACTTTCATTCGCAAAAACAGATTTTTTTCAAATAAAAGTAAATTCTTGTAAAAAATTTTATTAAAAATATACGTATTTTTAATTAACTTTTGATTTGACTGTCTATCCAAATTAAAAAAAATTATCTTCATAACGGAAAAAAGTAGAAAAATAGAAAAGAAAAGAAAGAATTTCTATTATTATAACTTCTATAATTATAATTATTATTATTAGTATTGTTAATATTATAATTATTATTATTATTGTTATTATTTATTCTTATTATTAATATTCTTATTATTATTTTAATTATAAAAAAAGAAGAAAATTTCTTTAATAAAAAAATCAAAAAAAGAAAATCTATTTTTTTAAAGAGAGTGTGAGTGAAAAAATAATGAAGAGAAACAAAAAAAATGTGTTGTAATATATATGCGATAAATGAATGAATAAATTTATATGTTAATATATATAATGAGAAAAAGAAAGCGAAAAAGTGGGGAAAATTTGTTGGATGTGTTGGCAGTGTCAATGGAAAATTGGGCTGAGAAAATTTGTGAGCGATAAAAAATGGGTGATTTTTAACCCCCCTCCCCTTTTTCTTCAAGTTACCTAAAAAAAAAAGAAAAAAATTATAAATTATACGCCTGCTTAATGTCAGCAACCAGCAGGTAAAGGCTCCCAATAATTATTATTGTAAATGTGCAGTTATTTCACTTTTTTTTTAGTCCTGAAATGTGACATTTTTTTTCATTAACAAACATGTAACTTTAATTTTCATAAATTTAATAAAAGTTCTTTTATTTGTATTTAAAATTAAATATCACCGTCAAAAATTCAAATTCAAAACTAAAATCAAATACTGAGTTTCAACAATTAAAATTAAATATTTAGTTTCAAAAATTAAAATTTAAAACTAAAATCAAATACTAAATTCAAAACTAAAAACACTTGAAGAATTGAAACTTAGAACTTTAATTAAAAATTCTAGTTAACAAAATTTTAACAAAAATTTTATTAAAAATTAAAAAAAGAAGAAAAAAATTGAAATATTACAAAAATATTTTTCTAAATGCAAATTTTCTCTATAGAGTGAAATATTAATTTTATGTTAATTACATGTTGCGAATGAAAGAAAATAAAGAGCCAGTTTTGTTAAAATATGTCATGCAAAAAAAATTACGATTATATTTAATGTTTAATACAAAATTATATAGAGATGGAAATAGATGAAAAATATTTTTTACTTCCCACCAGATTTTTACTGATAGGAAAATAAAAAATATTCTTTGGGTATTTTTTGTCACTTTTAATTTTTGTAATTCCCACATACAAGAAACAATAATATTCTTAAACTATTTTCACCAGAATTCAAATATTATCTTTGTTCTTTTCCAACACAAATTAGCGAAAATATTGTGAACTGATCTTAACATCGAAAAAGATAATATTTTTAAAACTGTGAACTAATTAAAAAGTTTCAGAAAATTTTTGTCGCCCTGTGGATTGAACGGTGAGTGCAAAATATGCAAAGTTCTAAAAGTTTGCGTTTCGAGTCATTTTTAAAATAGCGTTTCGAGTTTAAGACCTTACCAGGCCTCGGATCGACTTTAAGGTGCAAAAAAAAGTCGCTTTAGTCGATTTAAAATTGAAAAAAAAGTCGAAAAAGTCGTTTATTTAATTCAGTGTCGTGACAAAAATTTTATTTTTTATTCTTATCTTTCACTGATTTCTAAATTTAATTATTTAAAACTTGAATAAATTCGTTAAATAAATATTTAAATACTTCTTGTTTGGTTTTATACGAGAATAAAATTTTCAAAAATTCTACTTAAAACCTTCTGAAATTTAATAACTTGTAAAAATTACAACTTTAATTCTCTTAAAATTCAATTATTTTCTTCAACTTTTAATCACACTTCTTCTCGAAATCAATTATTTTTAATAATTTTCCGAAAGTTCATTTCGAAGTCAATTATTTAAACACAAAAATTCAGTTTTTTATAATGATTGCAACTGTCCATGTTTTTTAAGTTATTAATTAATTTTCAAAAAATTATAATAAAGAAATTCTTAAAATTAATTTGTCGAAAATTTTTCAAAAATAATTTATGAACGTTAATAGTTTTTTATTCATATGCAATTGAAAAATTTCCAAACAATTGAAATTTGGTAAATTCTATTCAAAAAAATAATTAAATTTTAAAAGAATTTTAATTATTAATATAAACGTGATTTCTCCAAAATTTTAATTAATCCAAAAAAAAGTAAATTTAAAAAAATTTTAGTTTACTTTGTTCGAAAAGAATTGAATTTCTTAAAAGAATTTTTGTATAATTTAAAAAAAAATTTTTTTTCAAGAATTTTGATTATAAATTTTGAACATGATTGTTAAATGTAAAAATAATTGTAAAAAATTTTAATTTTTTTTGTATGTATTTGAATTTTAGGAAATTTGTATTTGAAAATATTGAAAATAATTGAATTTTAAAAAAATTAGAATACAAAAATTCTAAGAATTATTTTTTTCAGAAATATTTTAATATAATTTTTAAAAGCTAATTTTCATTAATTACCATTTTTAAATTTACACTTGAAGATTTTTTATTAAAATTTTTGAGAAATCAATTATTTTCAAAATTTGCAATTAAAATTCTTTAAATAGTTGATTTTCAAAAATTTCTTATAAAACACTTTGCAAAAAAATCAATTATTTTCAATTAAATTTTACGAAATTTCAATTATTGAAACTCTTTTTTTATTGTAAATTTTAAAAATTTATTTAGTAATTTATAAAAAATAGTTGAATTGTTTCGAAGAAATCATTAAAAATTTTAGGAAATATAATTGAATTTTATGAAAATATTTGAAAATATTTGAATTCTTCCGAGAAATTCAATTAAAGTTGTTTTGAAAATAATTGAATTCCTGCAAAGAATTTTACTATTTATAAAAAAAAAATTGAATTCTTGAGAAGAATTTTACTATTTATAAAAATAATTGAATTGTTTCAGAAGGATTTATGAAGATTTTAGAAAATAATCAAATTTATTCGAAATATATTTAAAAATTTCTTTAAAAATTGAATTTTTCCGAGGAATTCAATTTCAATTATTTTCGAAATTTGCAATTAAAATTCTTTAAAAGTTGATTTTCCAAAATTTCTTATAAAATACTTTGAAAAAAATCAATTATTTTCAATTAAATTTTACAAAATTTTCAAAAGAATTTGATCTAAATTTCTCAAAATAATTGAATTATATTCAGTAGAATTTCAATCAAATTTAATAAAATTATTTTCAAAAATTTCTCTCTATTCCATTAATTTAAATATTTAATATTTTATGAAAATTTACCAAAAGAATTCAATTATTTAAAAAAATGTAAATAATATTGTTCAGCAAGATTTCAATTATTTTCATAATTTAAAAAATTTTACGCGAAAATTTATAACTTTAAAGAATTTTAATAAAATTTTTCGCAAAAATTTTATAAGAATGGAATTATTTTCATAATTTATTAAATTCTTCGCAGTAAATTAAAAACTTAAAAAAATTTTAATAAAATTCTTCGCCAAAATTAAATTATTTTCAATTAAATTTTACGAAATTTCAATTATTAAAACTCTTTTTTATTGTAAATTTTGAAAATTTATTTAGTATTTATAAAAATAGTTGAATTGTTTCAAAGTAATTATTAATAATTTTAGGAAATAATTGAATTTTATGCAAATATTTGAATTCTTCCGAGAAATTCAATTAAAGATGTTTTGAAAATAATTGAATTCCTGCAAAGAATTTTACTATTTTCAAAAATAATTGAATTTTACAATTTATAAAAATAATTTAATTGTTTCAAAGGATTTATTAAGATTTTAGAAAATAATTGAATTTATTCGAAATTCAAAAATTTCTTTAAAAATTGAATTCTTCCGAGGAATTCAATTAAAATTGAATTCAATTTCAATTATTTTCAAAATTTGCAATAAAAATTCTTCAAAAGTTGATTTTCAAAAATTTCTTATAAAACACTTTGAAAAAAATCAATTATTTTCAATTAAATTTTACGAAATTTCAATTATTGAAACTCTTTTTAATTGTAAATTTCGAAAATTTAATTAGAAAAATTATTAAAAAAATAATTTTTTAAGATTTGTCTAGTTATTTTTTACACTATACTTAAAAATCAAAATAATTTGCAGTCTATATGAAAAATTATTGCAATATTTGGAAGAAAAATCGTAAAAGTCGTAATTTTTGAAAATAAGTCGAAAAAGTCGTAATTTTTGAAAAGAAGTCGAAAAAGTTATAATATCCGAGGCCTGGCTTCTTCGATCCTCGCTCCCACTGAAATCAGAAAACTGCATTAACGACTCACCTCTCAAATGAAGTGTTAAATGTAAATTATGTATAAAAATGTGAAAAAAAACCCTTTTTTTAAAAAATGAAATGTTCCATCTCTATCATCAAACACGCAAACACACACACAAGACCATACAACACCACACCGCCAACACATCCACGGTGAGCGAGGATTAGATTAGAAGGATTATTTTTTTTTTTTCATTTGTCTTTAGCGAATGGGTGCAAATGTTTCTTTTCTTTTTTTTAATGGTTAGGATTATCGTGAATGGGTGGGGTAGACTCTTACCCTTCCTGGTGGAGCAGGGTGTCGCGCGGGGTGTCGTGGTGGTGTTGGTGGTAGTGGTGGTGGTGGCGCTAGTAGTACGTGGATTGGATTTTGGACTGGATTTGGATAATTGAGGGATTGACTTTAAAGTCGCTGGTATCGCTGTCACTGTCGTCGCTCCTGCTGTTGTTGTTCCCATCGCTCCCATTGCTCCTGTTCCCATTGTTCCCATTGCTCCCATCGCTCCAATTGATGATGATGATGATGACGATGAAGAAAAACAAGAATCTAGTGAATTTTGCGAACCCGTTTTTCGTCGCGTCTGCTCATCACTGGCGCACTTTATAACCGACAGTCCATCGGCGCCTTTCAACTTTCTTCTTTCGTGCTCGTGACGTTTGCTGTTCACGGCACTTTTCACCAGGCTCGACGGTGTCATTTTCGGTGGTGGTTTTTCGGTGATGAACGAGAGACTCTCGTCGGAAGGTGTGAATATGCCGGGTTTTGGAATTCGGAGTTCTTTATTAGGTTCCTCGGGTTTTTTGTTTCTTGAGGAATTGGGAGAGTTGATTGTGTTGATTGTGTTCTTTGGGGGTTTGTCCTTTATGGGTTTTTCCCTGACGTCCCGGATTGGTTTGTCTCTAGCTGGGGAGTTGAACTTTCGATTTTGTCGTTGTTCTTCTTCTTGTTGTTGTTCTTGTTCTTCTTCTTTTTCTTCTTTTTCTTTTTTTGCTTTTTCTCTTTCTTTTTCTTTTAGGAGATCTTTTAGGGACTTTTCCCTTTCCTTTAGGAGATCTTTTAGTGATTTTTCTTTAGTGGAGGGTTCTTTTGGTTCCTTGGGGTCTTTCGCGTCTTTTTTGGCTTCTTTGGCCTCTTTTGCTTCCTTCTTGGTTTCCCTGGCTTCCTTGGCTTCTTTGGACCCTTTCGCTTCCTTCTTTGCTTCCTTGGCCTCTTTCGCTTCTTTTTTTGCTTCCTTGGCGTCTTTTAACTCTTTTGCTTCCTTCTTTGCTTCCTTGGCGTCTTTTAACTCTTTCGCTTCCTTTTTGGCTTCCTTGGCGTCTTTTAACTCTTTCGGATCCTTTTTGGCTTCTTTGGCCTCCTTCGCTTCCTTCTTGGCTTCCTTGGCGTCTTTTAACTCTTTCGGATCCTTTTTGGCTTCTTTGGCCTCTTTCGCTTCCTTCTTGGTTTCCTTGGCTTCTTTGGCCCCTTTTGCTTCCTTCTTGGTTTCCTTGGCTTCCTTCTTAGTTTCCTTAGTTTCCTTGGCTTCCTTGAGTGTTTCCTTTCTGACTTCCTTCGGACTCTCCTTCTTGGACTCTTTGGGGACTTCTTTCTTAGTCTCCTTCTTCGTTTCCTTCGGAGTCTCGGCTTCGGCTTCTTCGACTTCCTGAAGGTTCTTTTCGGCTTCCTTGAGACTCTCTTTCCTTGTTTCCTTAAGACCCTCTTTCCTAGCCTCCTTTAGACCCTCTTTTCTAGTTTCTTTAGGACTTTCTTTTCTAGTTTCCTTAAGACTCTCTTTTCTACTTTCCTTAAGACTCTCTTTTCTACTTTCCTTAAGACTCTCTTTTCTACTTTCCTTAGGACTTTCTTTTCTACTTTCCTTAAGACTCTCTTTCCTACTCTCCTTAAGACCTTCCTTCCTAGTCTCTTTCCCATCTTTCCTGCTCTCAAGACCTTCTTTCCTAGTCTCTTTCCCTTCTTTTCTACTCTCCTTCCTGGCTTCTTCCCCGTCCTTAGTTTCCTTCCCCAGAAAGAGGTCTTCAACTTCCTCACCATTCTCCTTTTCCCTCAGATTTCTCTCCCTTGTCCTCGGCGACGAGAGGGGACTCGATGACAAGAGGGGACTCAGCGACTTCTTTCCCTCCTTTAAGGCATTATTCTTCCCAGGTTCCCGAATTTCGTTCTCGTGAGTTCTTTTTCTCCGATCGGGAGCATAGTTCGGAGGCGGAGCACCGGGTTTGGCGCGACTACTTCCAGGCGCCGCGAAAAAGTGACTGAGACCATCGAACAAACCCTTCAATTGTCCCGAACCTGGTTTCACTTTCGTCTCGATTGTCTCGGACTTTTTCCTCTTCTTCGAATCCGTGGGACTCGCTGCCGGTTGAATATGAAGACCAAAAGTTGGTTTATCGTTAAGATCGAGTTTCGGAAGCGTTGCGCCGAAGGTACTGGTAATATTACTGAAAAACGGCGATTCTACGGTTAGTTTCGCGGCGGCTGCGGCGAATCCCCAGGGTTTGTCCTCGTTCAAATCGCAACTGAACGGAACTTTTGATTTTTGCTTCTGCCTCGGCGATTCGTCTTCCGATGAAGAGGTTTCGATAGATTCACTAGATTCATCTTCATCCTCATCAATATTATCATTTTCTTTCTCTTCTTTTTCTTCTTCTTCTCCTTCTTCTTCCTCTTCTCCTCCATCGTCATCATCATCTTCCTTCTCGTCTTCACTGCTGTTTTCACTACCGGAAGTTGAATTTTCACTGCTGCTGCTGCTACTACTGCTACTGCTACTACTACTGCTCGATAATGGAATTCTAGGTAGCACTTTCTTTCTCACTGATTGTAGCGATTTTCTTTTTTCAGTAATAGCTGCTGCGGCGGTGCGCTTCAATTTATTATGATCGGTATTAAATGCACTTAACCTGAAAAACTTTTGCTTCTCCTTGGAGATTTTATCATTTTTCTCTTCCAATAGTCGACCCTGACTGCCGGCTGCTGTGGGGCTTGGGATTTGGGGTAAGGGAGAGGAATTAGAAATTGGTTGACGAGGGGAGACAACACCCGCATTACCGTCCGAGCAGCTGTCCACCTGAGCCACCGTTGGACTGCTCTTCTTTCCTGATGGGGTCGATGATGCCGTCAAACTCTTTCTCGATGCATTGGATCTAAATTAACAAAAATTTTGTTCATGTCAAATTTTGGTTTTATATTAAAATAAAAAACAGTCCTGAAGTTAGCGTTGAAAACTATTTTTTTGGGAGAATTTTAGAGATAAAAATGTGTCACTAATTTCAATTCATTTATTCAGTTCGTTTATGCTACAAAATAAGTTAAGAACACTTTTGTAATCTAAAACATCTAAAACATTAAGAAAATAATTTTATTCTTTTCATTTTTGTGAGTAAAACAAAGTTTTTCACGCGCTAACATCAGGGACGTAATATAAAATACAAATTTACTAAAATACAAACAAAATTAATAAAATAAAATAAAAAATTGCTAACATAAAATTACTAAAATAAAATGAAACTGAAAAATGCTAATAAACGATCGTTTTTTTAAATTTCGTTACCTAATTTGTTTCTAATTCCCAAAAATAAGAATTTTTAACAAAATAAACTTTGCGTTTGAATAAAAATTACAATTTTGTCTCGGAGACAAGTTTCTCTTTTATTATTAAAAATTAATTTTTTAAAGTATTTTTTAGTAACAATTTTCAACTTTTGCAAAATTAATTTTTATTAAAAAATAATTGTTCATATTTTCTAAAATTTTTTATATTTTTTTAAAAAATGTATTAAAATTACTTTTATTATTATTATTTTTGTTATTATAAATAAAATTTTAAAAAATTTGTATTTTCAAATAATTTCAATTTTGAAATAATTTGTGGTTCAAAATAAAAGAAAATTCAATTCTTAAATAATTTATTGATAAATTATTATTATTTACATATTGTTTTCAAAAACTTTAATAAAATTCTTCGCAGGAATTCAATTATTTTCAATAGAATTTCAATCAAATATTTCAAATTAATTGTATTTTTATTAAAAATTTGATAAAATTGTGCGTAAAAATTAAAATTATATATTTGAAGATTTGAATTAAATTCTTTATGAGAATTGAAATAAATTCAATAAAATTTAAATTTAATTCCTCTAGAAAAATTCAATTACTTTCGAAAGTTTTAATAAAATTCTTAGCAAGATTTAAATTATTTTCATAATTTATAAAAATTTTACGCAAAAATTTAATTATTTTAAGGGATTGTAATAAAATTCTTCGCAAAAATTCAATTATTTTCAAAAATTTTTAATAAATTCTAGTTATGAATTCAATTTTCTTTTAAAAATAGCAAAATTCTTCTCCAAAATTCAATTATTTTTATAAATAACAATATTCATCACAAGAATTCAATTATTTCAAAATTAATAAAATTCTCTCCAGAAATTCAATTATTTTCCAAAATTTTTAATAAATTTCTGAATTCCATTAATTTCAATATTTACTATTTAATTTACTAAAATTAATAAAATTTTTAGCAGTAATTTAATTATTTTCAAAAATAAATAAAATTATTATTATTTCCAAAAATTAATAAAAGTCTGTGCAGGATTCAATTATTTTTTTAAATTAGTAAAATTCTTCGCTAGAATTAAATTATTTTTAAAAATTAATTTAATTCTTCGTAGAAATTCAATTACTTTCAAAAATTAATACAGGAATTTTACTTTACAGGAATTCAATTATATTTTCAAAAATTAATTAAATTCATAGTAAGAATTCAATTATTTTTAAAAATTATATAAAATTCTTCACAGAAATTCAATTACTTTCAAAAATCAATAAAATCTTCGCAGGAATTCAATTATTTTCAAAAAATTTCTGTAATCCTTATTAAGATTTCAATTATTTTTATAAATTTTAGCAAAATTCTTTGCCAAAATTCAATTATTTTCCAAAAATTTTAATAAAATTCTTGATGTGAAAATTTCAATTACTTTCAAAAAAATTCAATTATTTAATAGAAATTTTAATAAAATTCTTAGCAAAATTTTAATTATTTTAAAATTCTAAACATTAAAAAGAAAAATTACCAAAAAAAAATTAGGAAAGAAATTAGCAAAAAAGCAACCAACTTTAAAACTTAAAAGTCGTCTTTTAAAATTATTTTTTAACAAAAAAAAGCCTAAATGCTATTTCATATTTTCCTTTTTTACCAAATATTTGAAAACTTTCGGAATTTTAAGGTTTTTTTTATCATAAAAATAATTATTCTTAATAATAAAATTAGTAAACAATAGAAAAGTTATTATAATCAAAAGGAAAAAAATTTTCAAGTGACTAAAGTTTTATAAAGCAAAAAAATCGTAAAAATCAAAAACAAAAGAGGAAAAAAGCGAAAAAAGAAATAAAAGAATAAAAAAAGGGGAAAAAAGCAAAAAAAAAACTAATAAAAAAGAAAAGAAAAGAGGAAAAAATCAAAAAAGGAAATAAAAGTGTAAAGAAAAAGGAAAAAAACAAAAACAAAAGAGGAAAAAGACAAGAAAAGAAATAAAAGTGGAAAAAAGGGAAAAAAGCAAAAAAAAAAACAAAAAACAAAAATCAAAAGAGAAAAAAAGCAAAGAAAGAAATAAAAGTGTAAATAAAAGGGAAAAAAATAAAAAAAAAGAAATAAAAGAAACAAAAGTGAAAAGCAAAGGGAAAAAAGCAAAAGAAAAATAAAATAGGAAAAAATCAAAAAAAGAAATAAAAGTGGAAAAAAAGAAAAAATACAAATAAACGAGAAAAAAATCAAAAAAAGAAATAAAAGTGGAAAGAAAAGGTAAAAAAAGCATAAAAAACAAAAGAGGAAAAAAGCTAAAAACAAGAAAAGAAGAGAAAGAAAAAAATCAAGAAAAAAGAATAAAAAAAAGAAAAACTTACTTTCGATTTTCTCGTATTTTAGTGAGTTTTTTCCTTGCGCTCGTCGGCGTTGTTGTTATTGAATCCAATTGTGAATGAACATTATTATCCTTATTATTATCCTTGAGCTTTTTCCCCTGCTGCTCCTCCTTTGGCGTATGCGTCGTTTGACAATGTCGACATCGCCACGGTGCTTTACATTTTTTATCAAGAACAGGATCGAGACACGACGGATGATAACATTTAATGCACGCAGCGCATTTCACAAGATAATTTTGTGATTCACGATCCGTTTGGCAGCCGGCGCAACGGGGCGAACAATCGTCACATGACCACAATGCTCCTCTATCGACGAGCAATGCGAGTTCCGCCGGTGCACAGGAATTGTGTAATGCCGCGCCGCACATTGTACAACGGCTGAGCTTCTCCGACGATGTTGAATTAGCGCCTCCTCGCTTTCCATTATTATTGTTTCCCGCTGTCGTTGCCGCAAGACACTCCTTACATATTGGCAACGGCGCTGGTAACTGCGAAGCCAATAGAGGCAAAGAAAAAAAAATAATAACACTCAATTTTTAGGGGGGGAAAAAATACTGAAACAATTCCGTTAAAGAAAAACGAAAAAATTCGGTAAAAGGGAAGAATTCCGTAAACAAAAATGTGAAAAAATTCCGTAAATGAAAAGCGGAAAAATTCGGTAAATATATAGACAGAGGGCACAGCCTGAAAATAATATCGATTAAAGGGAAACGAAAAAAAATTCTCCTCTCTCTACACAAACAACTTTAGAACTACTACCGCCGGTTATTATTCAATTAACTATTTGTTTAATTTCGGAAGGAATTAAACGTTGGTTTTATGTTTAGGAAGAAAATAAAAACACCTACTGCACTTTTTGGTGAATAAATGACGAAACTTGTTATTTTTTTCTGCACCATGACGCTATGGTTTTATTTCTTTGTAACGTATTCGTTGTCGTACACCTCGTACACTCAACGTGTCCTGTACAATTTTATGATCAGCTGTTGTGAACTGCGACGCATTTAGAGGTTAGATGACCCAGTGTTGCCAACTTTAGCCTACTTTCGTTCGCGCGGCAAATTTTAAACTTGTTTCTCTTTTTTCTCTTTCCCTCTCTTTCTCGTTCATTACTCCCCTCTTTCCCTCTCTTTCTCTCTCATTTCTCCCCTCTCTCCTTCTTTTTCTCTCACTTCCCCTCTCTTTCTCTTTCTATCTCTCACTCCCTCTCATTCTATTTTCACGACGCGCGCTCTTACCCTTCAGGAGCGTATCTACTTTTTACTTTCCCCCTACAAGTTCAAACGAATATTTCTTTCTCTTCTTTATTTTCTGTCATAATTTTTTAAAATATTTTTCTATTATCTACTATAACTTTTTTTACACAAACTGCAGGGACTTTATTTTTTAAATTAATAATACTAAAATTTAGCAAGTTTTCTATTTTCTTCTTACAATAATATTTTAATACATTTCTATATTTTCCTATATTGAAAAATTTAATTCTATTTTCAATAGAAAATTTAAAAAAAATTATTAAAACTAAAATAAAGGCGGGAAATTTTAAATGTATTTTTCTTAACAAATTCAAGAAAAAAAATGTAAATATGACACAAATTAAGGCGGGAAAATTTAATTATATTTTCTACACAAATTGAAAAAAAAAATAATTACACCTATGGAAAAATTAAGGCAGGAAAATTTAATCGTATTTTTTTAAACAAATTCAAAAAAAAAAATAATTTCGATTATGAAAAAATAAAGACCAGGGGGGGGGGTTTACTTGAATTTTCTAAATAAATTTAAATAAAAAATTTAAACACTGAAAAAAATTAAGACGGGAAAATTTAATTGTATTATTTTCTAAACAAATTAAAAAAAAATAATTACGATTATGAAAAAATTAAGGCGGGAAAATTGAATCGTATTTTTTAAACAAATTAAAAGAGAAAATAATTTCGACTATGAAAAAATAAAGGAAAGGGGGGGGGAATTACTTGAATTTTCTAAATAATTAATTCAAATCAAATATTATGTCTATAAGAAAAATTAAGGCGGGAAAATTTAATTGAATTTTCTAAATAAATTCAAATGAAAAATTATATCTTTAAAAAAATTAAGGTGGGAAAATTTAATTATTGTATTTTTTAAACACATGCAAAAAAAGAATTTTTATGAAAAAATTAAGGGGGGAATTTAATTAAATTTTCTAAATAAATATAAATAAAAAATTTTTACTGTGAATAAAATTAAGAAGACGGGCAAATTTAATTATTTTTTCTAAACAAATTTAAAAAAAAAAATAATTACGATTTTGAAAAAATTAAGGGAGGGGTGGGGTGGGGGAATTTAACTGAATTTTCAAATTAAATTCAAACAAAAAATTATATTTATGAAAAAATTCAAGGCGGGAAAATTTAATTGTATTTTCTATAGAAATTAAAAAAAAATGATTTTAAATTCCGTTAATATTTGAAAATGTACTATTTTATGAAAATTTCTTAATTTAAATATTAAAAAAAGAAAATTTTTAATAAAATTCTTAGCAAGATTTCAATTGTTTTTATAATTTATAAAATTTTTTCGCAGAAATTTAATTAATATTTTAAGAAATTTTAATAAAATTCTTCGCAAAAATTTTATTAATTTAAAGAAATTTAATAACATTTTTTGTAGAAATTAAATTATTTTGAAAAATTTTGGTAAAAAATTCTCGTAAGAATTAAATTATATTCAAAATTTTTATTTACATTTTTCGAAAGGAATTTAATTGTTTTGAAAAATTTTTATTTACATTTTTCGAAAGGAATTTAATTGTTTTGAAAAAATTTTTGATAAATTTCTTTACAAAAAATTAACTTAATTTTGAATACAATTTTAATAAAACTGTCATCAAAATTTTAATTATTTTCAAAAATTTTGATAAAACTCTTTAAAAGAATTTAAATAATTTAAATATTTTATTTTTATTTATTACAAATAAATAAATAAATATTTTCAAAATTAAATTTCTCGTGAGAATTAAATAATTTTTAAAGATTTTACTTAAATTTTTTTCAAGAAATTTAATTAAGGAGGAAAAATTTAATTATTTCTAAATTTTCTAAAAAAATAAATTCAAGAAAAAATAAAAAGGACAATTGAAAAATTAAGGCGGGAAAATTTAATTGAATTTTCTAAATAAATTCAAATAAAAAATTATAACTATTAAAAAAAATAAGTGGGGGAAATTGAATTGTATTTTCCAAATAAATTCAAAATAAAAAAATTGCAACTAATCACAAAAATTAAGGTAGAAAAATTTAATTATATTTTCTAAACTAAAATTAAAATAAAATAATGAATTAAAACTATAAAAAATTTAAGACGGGGAAATTTAATAGAATTTTCTAAACAAAAAAATTTTTTTAAATTGTAACTATAATCACAAAAATTAATGGAGGAGGGGGGGGAGAATTTAATTTAATTTTCTAAATAAATTTAATTAAAAACTTTAAACTTTGAAAAAAATTTAATTATTTCTCTTTTAACAAATTCAAACAAAAATTATAACTAATACAAAAAATTAAGATGGGAAAAAAATCAAAAAAGAAATTAGCACTAAAAATATAAATTTATTTTTGAATTCAGCAAAAAAATTTAATATTACATTCTCAGTTTATTAAAAAACATTTTTTTAAACGTGCGAAAAATAGTGTAAATCGTGTAAATAGGCAAAACAAACGGAAAATTACATTAAAATGAAAAATAAGGAAATTAACAAAATTAAAAGAATTTGAAAGAAGAAAAAAAAACCAAAGGAGATAATAAAAAAGCATTTAAATGTGGGAAATTACAAATTAGTGAAGAAGGCAAGATAAAAGAATAATAAAAAAAGAGAGAAAAAAATTACACGAAGGTTTTGGACGTTTAATATGAATTATATTTTTCCACGAGGGGGAGTGCCAATCACATTGCAAGGCGACCTTCATGGCTGGTGAATAAGTACGTTTATATATATATTAGAGAAAGAGAGACAGAGAAAGTTTAAGGGCGTTACAAAGAGTGTATATAACATAATATATATATGACAACCAAACGAGAGGGTACAAAACACACACTTTTACGCGTTTCAGTTTCGCCTGGTTAAAATAAAAAAAAAGAAATAAAAGAAAAGAAAAGGGGGAAAAAAGGTGAACGAGAGTGCACGCAGTAAAACGTAATTATTCATTCCGGTGGTTACGAAAACCTTGCTATCTTATACCATCTCAAGGGGGGTGCATCTTATTAATTCAAAACGATCCTTCTATCTTGTCCCTTATATATTATACATTTATTTATAATTTCCAGTCATCTTTCAAATTTCAACCAAATATATTTATCTACGACAAAAAATTTTTTTTTATTTAACTTCAAAATAAACTTACTTTAATAGCTTTATTATAACCTCAAAATTAGCAAGAAATAAAAGAAAATACTCTATTATTTTGCAACAGTCGGTAAAGTAGAGTTTAAAACCTAAAATATTCAAAATAATTTTTTTTTTAATAAATCGACAAACACAACATGACCCCTCTTCCCTTCCCTATATAGAAATGTGACGTTATTTGTGAACGACCCTTAATAATAATAAGAAAAAATAAATTACCTTCTCCTCCCACCCCTAGGAATGTTAAATTGTTTGTGAACGACCCTTAATAATAATAGGAAAAAATAAATGACCCCTTCTCCCTCCCACTAGGAATGTGACGTAATTTGTGAACGACCCTTAATAATAATAAGAAAAAAATGGAAAACGTTGTTTGTGAACGAACCTTTATAATAATAATAATAATAATAACAAAAAATAAAAAACAAAAATAAAAATAAAATGGAACCCTTAATAATAATAAGAAAAAAAATGAAAAACGTAGTTTGTGAACGAACCTTTATATTAAATAATAATAATAACAAAAAAGAAAAAAAAAGAAAAAAAAAAGAAAATAGCAAACGTCGCTTGTGAACGACCCTTAATAATTATAAAAAAAATGGAACCCTTAATAATAATAAGAAAAAAAATGAAAAACGTAGTTTGTGAACGAACCTTTATATTTTAAATAATAATAATAACAAAAAATAAATAAAAAAAATAAAAAAAATGAAAATAGCAAACGTCCCTTGTGAACGACCCTTAATAATTATAAAAAAAATAGAAAACATAGTTTGTGAACGAACCTTTATAATAATAATAATAATAATAATAATAATAACAAAAAATAAAAAACAATAATAAAAAAAATGAAAATAGCAAACGTCGCTTGTGAACGACCCTTAATAATTATAAAAAAATGGAACCCTTAATAATAATAAGAAAAAAAAATGAAAAACGTAGTTTGTGAACGAACCTTTATATTTTAAATAATAATAATAACAAAAAATAAATAAAAAAAATAAAAAAAATGAAAATAGCAAACGTCGCTTGTGAACGACCCTTAATAATTATAAAAAAAATAGAAAACATAGTTTGTGAACGAACCTTTATAATAATAATAATAATAAT